ATATATATATATACACAGACATACTAAAGCAATGTAACCATGTAAAATCTATATATATTTTTTTACATTTAGGTTTTGATTACTTGCTTATTTGTTTTTTATCTAATAGGTTTGTGCGGAGGAGAAGAGTGCCACCTTAACAAATTTGGCCCATATGATGAGCCTTTACAGCACACACAGTTACTCCAGAGACTGTGGCAATTGGATCAATGTTGTGTGTCGATATATTCACGATTCCTTTTCAGATATAACATTTAGCCTGGTCACTTATCTCGCTGAGGTAAGAATGAGAGTTATTGTACTGTCTGTGATCATGTGACAGACTCATTTTATTCATCACCATGTCATATTTGCTGTTTTCAGTGGAAGGGGTCATTTTACTGGCAGATGTTTCTCAGTATGGGCACCGTTGGAAATGTGATGATGTCACATCCTTTTCTCTGGAATACAAAGTAATTAAGGCAAATTGTACAGTGGGAATAGCTTAATTAAAAAATAAGCATCCGTTGAATAGCCGTTTTGTTACTCCAATAGAAAGATTGCCGGTGTTATGATTAATCTTTGGTCAGCCCCAAAATAGGTGCCACTATCCCAATGAGGCATGATACTCTACTTCCAGAAACCAGACTGCGGCTACTCTAGGATAGTTCTTTTCAGTGGCGACTCTAGGAACAATATATAGGGGGGCACATAAGATACCACAGTCAAAACGGGGGAACACTAATAATTTTCACCACCTAATCATACCATTGAAAAAAACTAAAGAAGTATATATAAATAAGATTACAAAATACGAGAGTAATGCGGTATGCAACCTTTTTATTGTACTAACCTAATACTTAGAAGACGAGCTTTCAAGAGTTTTTCTTTCTTCCTCAGGTATTGCTTCAGGCTTGAGAAAGAGAGGAAAACTCTCAAAAGCTTTTCATTTTCAGCAAACACCAGGGCTGTGTAAATAATCACCTATGTTACACAGCTATAGAGGACTACAAATCCCAGCAATACATTATACAGTAATGCAAAATACCACCAGCTGCAGAGGGACTACAAATCCCAGCAGTACATTATACACTAATGCATAATGGCACCGGCTTTAGAAGCCTACATTTCTCAGCAACACATTATGCAGCCTTGCGGAATAATACCATCAGCTATAGAGTACTACAAATCCCAGCAAAACATAGAGCAATGCAGAATAATAGTATATACATGTTTCACATACTCTGTGCTGCTGCTCTACTCTGGGGTTCTGGCCTAATGTATTGGGGTATTGGGCAGAGCTTGTCAGGAGGGGTGAGGAGGGTCTTAGTAAGGGGAGATGTGTGGGTGGCAGAAGCGCTGTAAGCAGGCATTGCGTGGCTCCCCAGAAGGCGGCCGCAAGGTCCCCAGCAAGTGCTGGACCTAAAACACCTAAGTCAATTTGAAAAATGTGAGTGCTGGTACCGGCTTTTAGTATTGGGACAGAGGTCAGTTATAACGCAGAGTGCATTGGTCAATAATGTATCGCAGGGTGCGGAGGTCAGTAATGTAACGCAAAGTGCGGAGGTCAGTAATGTAACGCAGAGTGCGGATGACAGCAGTGTAACGCAAAGTGCGGAGGACAGCGGTGTAAGATAGAAAGGGACTTACAGTTTTGATGTACTAGATCATGTGGTCTGTCATGCCCTCTTCTTCCTCTCGGGGGGGTGGGGGGACAACGATGTTTCTCCCATGTGAAGCCCCAAGCAGCCTTGATGCGTCTTCTCTGTCTCTACTCTGCTAAAATACATGAGCAGCCATTGGCAGTGCTGCACTCTCCCTCTTAGCCAATAGTAGCTGGGGTGGGCGGAGGAAGATACAAGTGGTTGCCGACTGCCGAGGAGCCCGTACAGCAGGGGTCTCAAACTCAATCTAGTCGGGGGCCACTGGACACAATTTTTAGTCCTGTGGGGGCCGCTACTGTATACGGTACCAGTGTTAATGTCTGCACATGTTACAAGCGGCAACTGTCACCCATTCAAACGAATGATTGGGTGACAGTTGCTGCATGTAAATGCCTGCAGCACACCGCATGTATATCATATGTGAAAGGATTACATGCAGTTAGGAATCTGTCACTATCCTTGGATACACAATTGTGTATCCAGAGATAGTGATTGTTTTTGTAACTGCATGTAATCATATCACATACAATTACATGCGGTATGCAGGCGTGTACATGCAGCGGCTGTCAACCGATCATTAACTTGAATGGGTGACAGTTGCTGCATGTAAACGCCAGATTAGGGATTCCTGCTGCAGAAAAACGCAAGTTTGTGATACAGGAATCCCTAATCACACCTGAAACCTGTGAATGGGGCCTAATATAAACACAGAAAAATACAATCCCCCCACACTAATACACCCCCCTGTACAAATAAAATAATACACTCCCCCACACACACATAATACACTTTGCCCCCCTTCCAAGCCCCCCACACACATATAATCCTTTCCTTCCAGGCCCCCTCACCTGCTTTCATCTGTGCAGGGAGGAGGCACATCTTCATTGACTGGTGATCTAGTGGTGATCATTAGTATGGTCTGCACTAGACATTACTAATGATCCATCATTCGGCCGGAGCTCAGAACTGACAGAGCTCCGGCCGGAGCTGACAGGAGCAGCAATGCGGTCTGCATCCGTCGGAGATGCAGACTGTGTAGCTGCTCCGGCAAGTCGGGCACGCGGTCCGTGACCGTGTGACCGACTTGTCAGCTTGCTGCAGGCCACTTAGTACCGGCTCGCAGGCCGGAGATGGCCCGCGGGCCGATACTTTGACCGTAAGTGAAGCTGTACAGCAGCGGCCGTTTTAAAGGGGAATCAACGGGGGGGGGGGCAAGGAATAACCTAGGGGGGCAATTGCCTCCCTATAGAGATGCCTATGGTTCTTTTATACAGCATTGGTATTTATCTCAAAGAGATGAGTTACCACAATAAAATGGTTTCCATCATAAATGGCAACCACTAATCTAAACCATTGAATTGCTTCTTTTCCAAATATTTTGACAATATCTTTATTTTACTGCACAAGCTTTGCATATTGTGGTAAATTGATTATATTTAGGGGTCAGTCTGCCCAAAACAGATCTTTTAGCTTGTTTTAACAGAAGCTGGGTCGATCTGCCTCATGGCAAGTAGTTTTCTTGTGTCTCTCAGGCTCTCTATGGAAGAATTCTATTATCAGGCCCATATACCTGCTGCAGCCACTGTAAGAAAAGATTGGGGGGAGCAGCACTTCTTTTTGGATTCAATAAAATATAGATGATATTATAAGGAATCTAACAGGTCTGGGTACACCCAGAGGTGGGCAGGAACACCCCCAATACTGAAGGGGGGGGGGGGGGGGTTGGACAGAGCTGGGAAGTAGGGTGGGAAGATCTTACTGTTGGAGCCTCTAACACAAATAGGCCACTGGGTTTATATCGACCCACCAAATTCCTTGCTTGTCAGTGGACTTACCCTATATTTTACACTTGTACTTATGTCTGTATGTTGCTTGTCTTTGCCTTACAGCTCCTGGAGAAGGGCCTGTCCAGCATGCAGCAGTCATTACTGCAGATCATCTACAGCCTCCTCAGTCACATTGACCTCTCTGCTGCACCAGTGAAGCAGTTTAACCTTGAAATTATAAAAGTCATAGGAAAATATGTTCAGGTGGGGATTTTTTTTCTAGCTTTGGATGTATTCTGTGTTATCATTGTCTATCTAGCATAAAGTTAAGCTGAGCATAGCTGGTTTGAATTTCGGACCAATTCTTGCTGAATCGGCTAAAACTCAAGCTGTGACCCTGTCGGTACCACCTGCCTCTACAAAAAAAGATTTGGAAATCATCTGAGCCAGGTGGAAAAATCTTGGCCGAACAGTGATTGCATCCTATCAGATGTTAGGGTACGAAAGCAGCCACACGTGCCTGAACGCTATTTACCGAAGCCAGAGGAATCTGTTGATTTTCTCTTGTTCCGCCCGAGTGTTGAAGGAGAGACATCTGTGTTTGGCTAGCTTTAGGGTACATAATGAGAACAGATGAGTCAACCCCAACATCTCTGCCCACATTCACACTTGCACATCCACGGTAACGCGGCAGTACGCACTTGAATTGCCATTCATTTCTAATGGCACCCCAAATGCGGATAGGAAGACGCGTGTTTTTGCTCTGCGTTTGCGCACATAAAAACGCACACAAACACGGAAGCAAAAAAAGCGGGACACGTGTCGCAAAAATCTGCTACATTAGCTTTTTTTGCCGCATTTGGCGCGTGTGCAGGCCCCAGTGAACACAATGGGGACGCCGGGCAAACGTGGCCCATAAACGCGCAAACTTGACACATGTTCACGGAACACGCAGGTGTGAATGCTTGGTCTAGTTTTGTGTCTGTAGGGTATGTGGTCGTTTTTCTTTCACATTTTCACATCAGCGTTTTACTTTTTTTATCTGAGCTTGTATGTTTGGTTTTGTGTGTGTGTGTACACCAAGGATTTTCATTGTTGTGTTTGTGCTATTACATGCATTCTTCTCTTCAATGTGGTGGACATTCTCCCCAGAGCAAGGAACCACTTTGCATTCACAATGTCATTCATTTAATCTACCCAAGTGGAGTTTTTTCTTCTTTTATCCATAAAGGCCAGATGTTTTATGACTTGTAATTAATTTCCAATGTCTTGCTCTGACAGAAGCATTTCTTTTTTGGCTCCTGTCAAAACCACAACATTGTATAATTCAGGGTTCTGTTCAGGAATGCCCCAGAGCACTTAGCCAGCTTGCTGTAAACTGCTTTATATAGCTGTGTGCTTGGCTGCAACACTTTATTCAGGAGCACTGAAATGAAAGCACTGAAATGAGGTCAGCTTAGCAGTACCAGCAATACCATTCTCAGAACTCTGTTGCTGCAGAGATGTGCATAGCTCTGTTTTAGAAGTCGTCTTGTATTCCACAGAAGAACAGACTTAAGGTGAAACAGAATACGTACCTAATACAGTTCTGTCGGCACATAAGAGGCACCTGCAGAAGAGTAGACATTAGGTACCATTTGACTTCTGTGGAAAATTCCCACGCTACATCCAGTTAGTTTGAACTATTAGAAATACACACAGCATTTTGGAACCTTGGTCATTATGCTTATGGTATATTTATAGAGTCTCTGCGCAGTCTCTGTTGGCCATTGCAATCAGGGGTTCCTGTTATGACCACATACTGTATGTATCTGTACTTGAGCATCAGAAAATCGTATAAATTTAAAGCATATGTCAAGGAAAATAGAAAAAAATACACATCTTTAATCGATGCACATTTGCCGGTGTATTCTCCGGGGGGAAGGGGGGGGGGCTAATTAGTTTTTTGTTGTTGTTTTTTTTTAAATAACACAGCAGCTCTGAATATCTGACAAGATCAACAGATATTTTTTGCACTTATAAAACAGAAATTTTTTGCACTTATAAAACAGATATAATAAAACACTTTCAATGGCCAAAAGGGAGCAAATAAGAGAAGTTCATTGTTAGGGTTTACATAGACTTTAATCCCCTGGCCTCACTGCTTATTAGATGCTGTGAGATGGTGTAAAGTAGACAGTGGCTGCCCTCTGCTTATTTACTTACGCTTATCAGGTATTGTTTTCAACCATTAGCATTATTCAGGATGGGCAACTTTCAGATGACACATTGTGCTTAGCTCCCGATTTTGGTGTTATCTACCACTTGACATGTTGCTCTCTTTTGCCTCTCTTTCAGCCGTAGTTTTTGTGCTCGTGTTCTTTGTATAACCATACATTTCTTTTTCTCTTTGCCCTGTCAGAGTGCGTATTGGAGAGAAGCACTGAATATCCTTAAACTTGTGGTCTCCCGCTCTGCCAGTCTAGTAGTGCCAAACGACGCTCCAAAATCCTACAGGGATATAAGCTCACCCGAAATATCATTTACAAAAATCTTTAATTGTGCCTCCAAAGAGCTACCTGGAAAAACATTAGATTTTCATTTTGACATATCAGAGGTGAGATTATGGTTAATGAGGATTGCTTGTTGCTCATATTTCCATCTCTTTTCATGCCTCCAACTTAAACATCATCAAATCTCACATTGACGTGTGTTTCCATGTAGACACCGATTATAGGACAGAAGTACGGTGACCAGCACACTGCAGCAGGAAGAAATGGGAAGGCAAAAGTCATCGCTGTAACTCGAAGTACATCCTCCACTTCTTCTGGATCTAACTCCAATGCTCTTGTCCCTGTTAGCTGGAAAAGACCACAGCTTTCTCAGGTAATGGAAGATGACAGCTGCATTGTGCAAGTCATTCTTCCCTTATAAGTAACAGTTATTCTTGATATTCGCGACTATGAACAATTAAGGTTAGATTGTGTACACAACATTTTCTAACATACCTGCTAGATCAGGCACTATTTGCTGTTTCCAGAGTATGTTTTTTAGGGTAAAATCCAACTCCAGGCTACCATTTTTCTTACATTTAAAAAAAAAAAAGCAGCTCAGGCAATAACTTCAATTGGAAGTTTTCCCATGCAGTACCTCTTTTCAGCATAAAGATGTCCTTAGTGTTCCGGGTTTATGCCCACCATCATCACTTCCGAGCTACTTTCTGCCTCAGTAAGGACTGCCCACCACTGAGAACAAGTCCCTGTGGAGTCACATGACAGGCCTGAAGACTTCATAAAAGGTAAGTATAAAAGAATAGCAGACAAAATAATGCTGAGGGACCTTCAAGGAAGGAAGAGGTGGAAATGTGGAGCCTGCAGTTGGGCTTTGAGTGCTAACCAAGCTGAAAAGCCAACTGTGAAAGCTAATGGTGACCAGCTGTACAGCTTTGATAACACTAGCGAGTCAAGGGTGCAAAACTAAAATGTTAAATTACAGCAGTAAAATTGCCACACGACACTGTATGGAGAAATGTTTGTGGACACCTGACCATCACATGGACACCACACCAAATAATTGAGTTCAGGTGTTTCCACTGAAGGGTACTGTTAACTCTACAGCATATTAAGACATTTTAAACAACTGTACGCTTCCAACCTTATGGTAACAGTCTTGGAAAGGCCCTGTTCCAGAATGACTGTGCCCCTGTGCACAAAGCCAGTTCCATAAAGACATGGCTAGATGAGATTGGGGGGAAAACTTGAGTCGCTTACCCTCAACCCTGTTGAACACCAGATGAATTGGAATTTTGAAAAGAAGTCTGTTGTTTGAAGAGGTGAGTATATTTTATGTACCTCATCAGTCACACTAATGTGGAACTGTAACTGTCAGTATCTGTCTATAAACAACAATATTTAAGTGCTTTTTCACATTATGTAAGTTGAGCTGTGGTTTTCTGCACATCACCGCGTGTGTATGGTGTGAACAGGGCACAGAGAAAACAATTGTTTTCTTTGTGCCCTGTTCACGCCATGCTTGTGAACAAGCCCTAAAGTGGGATTGGGTTACCGCACTTTGTGTACTGCTCTTTGCCTTATTAAATGATCTCACGTATGTTTGTTTATAAGACTGAGCACTGCAGAGAAAGCTTTAAGATGCTTTGACTGTTTTAGTGCCACTTCCGCTGTATCCTACTATCATTCTTCTCTACATTCACATCATTGTAGTAGAATTTACATACAGTAAGAGTTATTGTGTATACTGCACACAGATGCCTCTACCCACTGGAAGGCCATGAAAAAGGAGAAAGTTCTTCCGGCACCCACATAGTTAATACCCTGCTGTGAATTGTCAAGCCTGGATCTTCTACCTAATCTGTGCTGAGTAGCTGGTTCATCCTGCAGGTCAAAGCTTGTGAGAAGGGATTTTTTTCCAACAGCATCCATATTCTCTTCTAACTGCTTCCACAGTTTATAGGTTCCCTCAAATGGTGTAGGCTGCTTGTAACTTGTACAATGTAGGATTAGAATAACTGCACTGTTTAATCATTGCTTCCATTGTGCCACTGTAAGAAATTAGGGTATTAAGAGCATCTGATCAAAGGTAATTTCTCTACCTGCCGTTGATTTGTTGTTTTCTGCTTGTTTCTTATTACGGATTGATAAGAAGATACACACTGTTTCTGCTAATTTTCTTTTCCTCTATTACCTTTCTTTTCCAGAGGAGAACCCGAGAAAAGTTAATGAATGTCCTGTCACTGTGTGGGCCTGACTCCGGTCTCCCCAAAAATCCATCAGTAAGTGTGACTTGTTATCGCATCTGCTAATTAAACCTGCTTTAATTGCGCTCCTTGCATGTCATATGACTGTAGCTTAATAAACACTTTGCTAGAAGAGCCTCAGCACCTGGAAATTATCACGAGTCAGCCACACACAGAGAATGTGAGTGTTTAAAAGGCTTGTGTTCCAATCTCTTCTCTCCACAGGTGGTCTTCTCATCAAATGAAGATCTTGAGGGTGGAGATCAGCAGACCAGCCTGATTTTGAGCACAGAGGAAGCCATTCAAGAGGAGGAAGTGGCTGTCGAGGACACCGGCAGCGAACAGCAGTTTGGTGTCTTCAAGGACTTTGATTTTCTGGATGTTGAGTTGGAAGACGCTGAGGTAAGAGCCCTGTGTCTGTCTTTTAAATGTCGACCACTCGCCACTGGAAACCCATTTATTGAAAATGCTAGGGGGTTTTGGCTGAAGCTTTTTAGAAATCATTACTGTTAATGAAAAGAAAATACTGAATCAGAACAGATATTTAGTAAATACATGTAGAAAACTGATCAAATTCTAACCATAAAATATTGCAGAGTTTTAGGGAGGATCTTCTTTAAAGCATTTTATTAATTAATCAGTATTCATAAGGTACAATATGAACATAAATACAAGGAGAGTTGTCTTTCTTTACACAGCCAGTTTAGTAACCTCTCACTCTTTCTCTAATTTCACAAAACCATTGTGTCTGCTTAAAATAAAAACCTTGCTACTGGACCCCATTGTTTTACATTCCTTCCATGACTTGAAACACTGACTTGAAAAAGTTGGTCACTTGGGGTTGTGTAAAAAGTTTTTAATCATATTAAAATCTGATCAGTTCTAATATGAAATAGCCTTGGTTAAAAGGTGCCATTGGCTATCTCACAAGATGCATACTGATTCTCAGCCATGCAACATTTGTTCAGCATCACTATTACTGTTTTGAAACTAGTTATAAAGGCTCTAAGGTGGACAGTAAAAGCTTCCATTAGAGGTTTCACAAACAGGTATCTAACATAATGATAGATCTCCTGCAAGGCGCTTAAACAAATGAGACCTAATGTAAAATTTTAAGTGTGAGCATTAAAAATATAAATGCTTCAGTGAAGACTGTTACTGCTTAGAATCACCATCAAAAGTCTGAAACCAAAATTGGATGACTTTCTTTGGGGTTCTATGGTCAGGATGTGTGATGTATCCTTGAGTCCAAGTTTTTTAATTATCATTAGTTTACAGCTTGCATTCACCTGACAAGTCTGTCAGGAATTATGCAAAGTTACCCTGGGTTTACTTTAACAGACAGGACTTGGGTACGTGGGTACCTGGAGGTACATTTTAGGAGTGCCCTGGGGGACTCAAACACCTTATGTAGTTGAGAACTTGGCCTTTAGTCTATCGGCTATGGAGGATACCCAGCAATATATGGGGAAGTATGTGCAAGAGTGGACAGGCCAAAGGTCTTGACCACAGAAGCTAGGGCAGATTTGGCTATTAGAGCACTATCAGGGTGATTCAAAAAAGCAGTTGCTATACTTTTCTGTCCTTTTCTGTGAAATCCTTCATTAATTAATTAAGAAACAATTTCTATGCTGTTTACAACATGTGTGACAAATTCAGACAGTTCCTAAATGCAGCAGTTTTGCATTGTGTAGCTGTGGCTGCAACATATTCAGAATTGTCGCCATATCGGTATTAGGAAAAAGAGGTGCTAAATAAGACCTATTTCTTTTTTGAGATAGTAACAGTGACGGCAGGAATCTGTCCTTGCCAGTGTAGTGAATAGCAAAGACATTGTAATATGGTGCAACACTCTGGAGCTCTGACCTGAACACCTCCTGAATGATGTCAAGTTTTTGGCTTGATAAAATGGAGGACATCCCTGAAAAAAAAAAGCTACCTTGTAAACCGGAAGTGTTGCACAGGATGCCACCATTTTCCAACTTTTGCTGGGTTTGTTGTGATCACTCAGTTGGTGTGCAGGACAAAGTTCTGGGTCCACATACAGCCCTTCCGCTGGCCACAGAGGGCTGCTGGATGTCATCTACTCCTGCAGGCTCTCCATAGGTGCTTGGAATTCTGGCTGTTCGTGAATGCCATTTATTTCTTTTTCTAAATTAAATTATCAGTGTTAATACAGAATGCCAGTGCACTGTGTTCATTGTTTCACATGTGTACATTGATCACTGGGGAATGTTTTTCCAAAGTAAGACAGCTGTTATCGGCCTTCGAGCTTCGAACAGTAACTGAAATATCACTCTTGGGTAAAGCTCAGACTTCTGCACATTTTCAAACTCACAGATCTCGTACGGAGGGACAGAGTTTCAGTTAGGAGAGATGGGGGAAAGGACGGCTGGACTTCAAACTGCAATAAATCACTTCATACCGTCCTCACTCTAGGTAGATGCAGGAATATGGGCAGCTCTACCTAGAGCGAGGACAGGAGGACGGCTGGACCCCGTATAAGGTGATTTATTGCAGTTTGAGGGCTTGTTCACACCGAAAGCGTGTGCGTTGCAGAGCGCTAGCTGCTGGAACGCACCACGATCGCTAAGGAACTCCCCCGCATTTTGGGGCGTGGTGGTGCATTGAATTCAATGGCACCCCTTCCACGCCCCCCGCAGTGCGATCGGATGCGTGGCAAAACTTTGCCAGCGTTCCTTTCCACTACAAACGCAAAAAATAGAGCAAGAATTCAATGCACCGCCACACCCCCTCCCGCCCCAAAACGCGGGGGAAAGTTTCTCAGCGATCGCAGTGCATTCCAGCAGCTACCCCTCTGGAACGCACACGCTTTCAATGTGAACAAGGCTTGAAGTCCAGTTGCCCCCCCCCATCTCGCATAACTGAAACTCTGTACCTCATTACGAGCTCAGCCTGGGAGAGAATGTGCAGAAGCCTGAGCTCTGCAGCTGTGATCGAGTGATCACGATTGCAATGCTTTCCAGGCTTGAATGCAAATATTAAAGAAATGCATATTTTTTTATATATTATTAAGTATCCATTTCTTTAATTTTTGCAAAAGGTGAACTTATCCTTTAAAGTCGGTACTTGCCTTGCATCACAGCAGTAGAGTAACTGTTAAAATTAGTACTTTTTAGACCATGACAGGTTCGCTTCAAGTCTCCAGAATGAATGGAAACCGCAAGAGAATATTCTGTTCCTGACCTCTCTGGAAAATGCGAGTTGCCTGTGTTTCATGCAGATGTGGTGGCTTCAGCACTGCCTGTATGCAGATCAGGAGTTGTGTCTTCTTAAGGCTGGGCACACACCTTACAACCATCTCAAGACTTTTGTCTTGCGATGGTTGTAAGGTAGTTAAAAAAACGTACGATCTGCCTATCTTGCATAGGCAGATCGTACTTGCGATGATCGCAAGCCACGCCCCCTGAGGGGCGGGCTTCCGATGACCGCAATGCCGAACGGGCAGTGTGCGCTTGCGCACACCGGCCCGTACGGCTTTTATCGTACGAACATGCCACAAACCCGCCGAACATCGTACGATGCTCGGCGGGTTTTCGAACATGTCCGTAAGTTAAAAGTCGTGCGACCTTACAGTAGTAGAGGTCGCACGGCTTCCACACACCTTACGATTATCGTACGATTATCGTAAGGTATGTGGGGACCTTAAACCTCATATTTGTGTCCAGGGCACTTACTCAGTATTAAAGCCACAGGCAGCTGGGCAGCTAGCATTCTTAGAAGGAAGTCAGCAGTCTTTGTGTAGGGTTAATTTAAATAACTCTGCAGAATGTTAATAGTATATAATTTCAGGCACTTATCATTTCCTGGTAATGGGTTATTTCCAATCCACCCTCAAAGAAGAAAAATAAAAACTGTCCTGATTCCTGTCAGCCCTAATGTACCCTGTACAATAACACGGCAGTATTGCTCTGCCCGCCGTTAAGTCTGTATAAGTGATGTTTAAGTGATACATAATTGTTTTCTCCTGCCTTTGTCTTTGTCCTTTTTACTTATGAATATTTGTGTTTTCCTTTTTGCTAACCAGGAGCTGCAGGTAAGTTGCAGCCTGGTGGAGTGGCTTGTTTTAGCTGTGATCCCATGTGGTGTGTGTTTGTGCAGTATATAAAATGTGCAAGGTTTGCTGTTTGATTAATAGACATGTAAATTGGCCAACTTATCTGTTCCCTTTTTGATTCTCAATGTTCTATGTAAGAATTGACATAAGTTGCCTAAGTGTGTTCTTTGATTTCTCTCCACAGGGTGAAAGTGTCGATAACTTCAACTGGGGAGTCCGCAGACGTTCTTTGGACAGTATTGACAAAGGCGACACTCCGTCTCTGCAGGAATGTCAGTACTCGGGAAGCACTCCTAGCTTAAACTTAACCAATCAGGAGGACACTGATGAGTCTTCAGAAGAGGAAGCGCTGACTGTCAGTCAAATTCTGTCTCATTCACACATGGTATGACATCAGAGTCAATGCTTAAAGTGCATTTCCACTTTTGCAGCCAGATTGGGATAACACCTATTCTGTATTTCTCACATGTTCTCATTCACATAGCATAACTTTAAAAAGAAAAAACATTAAAAATTGCAGCTTACATAATTTTTGTTTTGCCATGTTACTAATTTTCCCTGAACTGAATATTCCTCTGTAATGTAAGGGGGCTGGAGAAGTTACCTTAAAGCAGAACGCCTTGCAAATGTATTCTTAACCCTTGTAGTGGGGCTAACCCCCCCAATGCAAGGCTTAAGCGCTTGTTTTAGTCTTAAACATCCATCTTTGCTGTTGTGACTGTTTTGTATTTTCTGCTTGTTTCCTGCAGCTTAATAATGATTCCACAACAGACGACAACATGGCTGACCACGTGGACCACTTCCTCCAACCTCAGGACTCACTCAGTAGTGCTCTGACAGAGGAAGTGCTGCAAACCAGAGCTGAGACCCCCACTGTGGAGGTCACCCCTCCAGATAGTGCTAACAGTCAGCTGCCTGAGGTGGGGAGAAATCTGGGCTGGTGCATGGCTGATCTGGGTTCCTTTTAGTTCTGTCTAAAAGATTTGTGTCTTGATTTCATGCAGCTGTCCTACACTTAAAAATGAGATCTATTTGTTTGTTTTGTTTACCTTTTCATATTTCTAACCTGTTTGGGGGTTTTAAACGCAGTATTATTTATCATTATAATTGCACACACCCCAAAGGTTACAAATATTCATGTTGAGCTGTTACTGTTTTGGGTGAATTGGTTAATTTATTGTACCGTTTTGGGCATGGTTATGTTGATTCTAGAGCAATTTATTTTCTCTTTGGTGCTTCTTTTGTAGCTGATCATTTTATTCATTGTGTGTGATTTGGGCTGTAATTGGGGTTAGGACCTCAGGCCAGCTCTGTTAGTGATTGATTTTTTATAACCATGGTGACACAACAAAATTCCAGCTTCACAATGTTGAATGGCCTGTGTGTGGAGGAATGGCAACTGGGGACCAGCTATGTGTAAGTATCTCTACTTCCGTCATAAATTACTTTTTTGTGTTTACCGAGAATGTAAGAGTTCATTACTATCATTAATGCAACTGAGCCCAGAGTGGCAAGAAATTACAAGATCGGGTCCTTAAGAACGCCCATAGATATCACATCTGTTTGTCTTTGAATATCGTGTGCTGTGTTGGCACCCGACGTTTCAGTCATCTGAAAGATGTATATGGTGAAAGCCTTGTTCCCTTCCCTTAAAGTGACACTAAACCCCAGAGTTAAATCTTAAAAATGCATTTAAGTACCCTAATTATTAACAAAAATGTATCTTATTTGTGTATCGCTCAGCTGTAGATCCTCAAATCATCTCTGAAATGTGAACGTAGTTAAGAGGAATGCAAACAACTCTGGGCCTCTGTTATTTGGTTATATATATTGCATTGTATTTTTATTGAAATCCTAAGGGCTCAGTCACACTAGATGCAGTGCGTTCCGGCCCGATTTTGGCCAGAACGCACTGCCTCGCATTGCAGCCGGCTCACTTTTTAGTGGGGCAGGAGGGGGCGTGGCGGGCCATTCAAGTGAATGCGATCCGACGCAATGCAATGCGCCGCACGGGATCGCAAAGCACATTGTGCCTGCAGTGCGATCAAAATGCTACAAGCACTATTTTGATCGCACAGGACCGGACCGCAGGCACAATGTGCCTTGTGATCCCGTGCGGTGGATCGCATTGAGGCCGGAGGACGTTCACTTGAACGGCCCGCCACACCCCCTCCTACCCCACTAAAAAGTGAGCCGGCCACAATGCGAGGCAGTGCGTTCTGGCCAAAATCGGGCCGGAACGCACTGCATCTAGTGTGAATGAGCCCTCACAGTTATAGTAATTTAGGACTGAATATTCATATTCTTACATAAACCCAGCCACAACTGGTTCCCTTTAAAGAGACTGTCACAAAGTACCAGGTTCTCTTGTAAGAACTATCCCTTACCCACAAATACTTTAATTCCTGTACTCTGTTCCACCGTCAAAGCCCAGAGTCTATACCCTCTGTTGAACACTTAAACAAGGTTAGTATCTTCCTCGGATGACAGTGTTTGGGGTCTTGTGATTGCCTGCTCAGACCCAAGCACTGCATTCTGGTTGGAGATCACATGTTCCTTCATAGCCAGAAAGACCAGGTTTTACTGACTACTGTCAGAATAGCAGGGGAGCACTGATAAGGTGAGTATCAGGGAGTAGATGGTGGTTCTGTAGAAATAGAATCTCTTTAACCCTTTTGTGTCCAGAAGGTCATTAATGCCCAGGGCAACTTAAGCAGTGTTGGGATGCATCAGTTAACTTAACTATAACTCTTTAACTAATTTGCATTCCTTAATAATTATATATCTATTAGGAACATTAGAAGGCTCTTTTTATCATAGGCTGACAAATGCACAAAAATGTAAAAAATAACAACAGATTTTTACATTGCCTGCAATGGCATTGTAAACGCGTCATATCTGTAGGATGTTGAAGTGTGACATCTAGTGCAGAGATTGAACAACTCCAATCTATAAATGCACTAGATTTGCATTTTAACTGACCACCCCATGGCCTTTTGCCAAGATTGCATCTGTTATTGTGTAGCAACGTGGCATCCTGAGTGTGAAGCTGTCTTCACTGCAAAAGGGCAAATTCAGAAGTAAGTTTGCAATATAGTGCAAGTATGCCATGCTTATGCCATGCATGCGCTAGTTAAAATAGCTGCTTACTGATATAGTTTTGCATAAACAGCAAGGATAATCACAATTTTGGGGATCAGTATTAAAGGTGAAAGCATCTTAACAAGTGCCAAGACATCTACATTTTAATTTGTATATTCTGGCATGCTCTATCCTTGTTGTATCACGGTTATGGTAATGTTGGAGCTGGGGGACCCATGAGCTAATAGTTAATATTGCCTAGGTGAGGAAAACTGCAGCCAATGTCAAAATTATGTTCATGATTCTGTCCAGCCTCATAGCACGTATGTAGAACATCTTTTTTGTTTGTTTTAAGAAGCACAATATTGCAAGGTGATTGACCATCGTATTACCCTCATAGTGTACGCTAGCCTGATGAGCTGTTTGTTTTTAGGATGCCAGCACAACGATAAAGGATGAGCAGTTGAGTACAGCAAGTGAGGACACCAGCTCTAATGCTACACAAGACCAGCATGAAGCATTGATTTGTCAGGAGCCCCTGGAAGTGGAAGAAACATGTGACCTCCTAGAACCACCAGCTTCAAGCAGCCCCCAGGATTCTATCTGCGATGATGAGGTTACACTCGCTTTAAAAGAGCTGGATGAGCGATGTGAGGAGGAAGAGGCTGATTTTTCAGATGTGTCCAGGTTAGTTCTTTTTATCTGTTTTTGTCAACTATGTTTTATATAACACTAGTTGTTCTCTTCACAAATATATCTAAAGTCCTCTGTCAACCGGCTTTGACTTGTTGATGAGCTTCTGAGATCACTCAGAAGTTGGCATGTGCATTGACCTGCAGTTGACCTCCTTCTGTCCTGCATTTGATTTGCTTGAAGCAGGTTTTGCATTTCCATAGACTAGTATAAGAATGTAAAACCAATCTGATGTGAACAAAAACCCGTCGACACAGGCCCTTAGTGAGCTCAAAGAGTTTTGTATGTGACAGCTTCCTTCTTTAGATGCTTAGGAGTGCTTTCTAGGACCGGATGCCAGATTTAGGCATAAGGTCCTAAGACAACTTTTTTGAGCTGCAGATAGTCCCCGGTCCTCTGTTGTAATATTGGGCCAGTTAGCTTGTTTGCTGTGTTGCCAACCCCATAGTTGGACTGCTTTTGGATGTACTGAAGATAAGACTCCCTGTGTCCCTCAATGTACGAGAACAAAAATATATATTTTTGTACTCACTGTAAAATCCTTTTCTTGGAGTCCATTGAGGGGTTTCATCCCTCTGTGTTTATGATCATGGTCTTGGTAGTGCTTTGCTACTAAACTGAGGCCTTCTGGTAGTAGGAGGGGGTTATCCTGAGCTGACTTTTTTTAGATTTGCCAGTGTCCAATCCTCCTGTGGGAGGCAGTATAACCTGAAAGTTAGACCTCCTTTGTCTTTCAATAGACACCAAGAAAAAGATTTTGCTGTGAGTACAAAAAAAAAAAATCAATAACCCTGACCTAAAAAGTCATTCAAAATCCAAATGACAAAATTCTAAGACTCTCCCCTCATCATGAAAGTTTGCACTCTTATGAAATACAATTATTTATAAATAGGGCCTGTGCTATGTTCTTATCTGGGTTTAAGCGTGAGTCTTTTTACATAATTACATGTTGTGAGTTATAAACCTCCATATTACAAAGGAAACAACATCATACCCATGCATCTGAAGCACAATTTCCTCTCGTCAGTTGAGATTTTGTATTTAGTTTTCAAATAAACTGCAAGCACGCTTTCCAACAAAGGGTGTCGTGCAGTGGGCTATAAAATATGTATTACTACATATCATATATCATGTCCTTCCTGCATGTAAAAATATGTTTTCAGTTTTAAAGCCAAGGTGTCACTTGATAGGCCTTTAAAACAGACTGACAGAGAACAGACGCCAAGATCTTCATGTTTGCACTGAAAACGCTTTAATGGAATTCTCCTTCAAAGCAAATCTATGGCAAGAAAATTATAAAGGTTGCTATTGGTAACCCATTTTAAAAATTGCTATTTACCTGGCTATTATAAAAATCCTTTAAATGTAAAATATTCTGGGTTACTGATCTTGAAGAAAGAATCGAAGAAGAAAAAAATCTAGATCAGGAGTGCTGGCTTAACCTTCTGCATGCTTGTTCTAGGTTATTGACTCATCTATCGAGCCCAACCAACTAGGAAGTCACCAATGACTATGTAATCTCATAGGGCTGGTCTTACACACCCCTCCATCTTCATGGAGTACAAGTCTGTGTGAAGAGACTTTTGATGATGGGTGGGCTCATCTAAGCCAGCATGGAGCACAAGAGTGTACACATTTTCACTGAGGGGAAAAAGGGTATTTTAAGGCATGTCCAAGTAAAAGTGAGTTAAAATGATGGCATGCAGAGGTACGGGACTTTAAAGAAAAAAAAGTGTAGACACTTCCTAATTTGCAGCAATTGTGTCAACCTCCAGAAATGTGTGTTGAGCAGCTGATACAGAGCAGAATGTGTCCACCCTCTGCTGTGAAACGTTAAAGGCCTTGATTCATTTGTTTGCTGAGCTAGTGTATCACGTGTGGCTGAGTTTTGGCTGCTCCCCCCCACCCACATACATAGATATTACTTAAGATAATTAAAAAAGTGCATCTGCAGCAGGCACCCTTGGATGGTTTCCAGCAGGTAATTGTGTATTCAGCCTGCATGTCCTGGAGATCAGCCTAGCATTGAGATAGCATATAGATGGCAGTTAGCAGTACTGTGCTTACTTCCTCTATGGAGATGCCGTCTTCCTTTTTGTTAAGCAAGAAGGCTGTGAAATATATCTACTCAGCATGTGTTGTGAGGCTGTTTGGGAATCTGAGCCTGTAAGTAAGCCTTAGAAATAAACTTGTTTGAGGGCAGACCTGTGCTTAGCATGTCATATAGTAACATTTGTACTTTAACATCCTGCAATCTCTTTGTAGCCAAGATGACGGTGAACAGGATGGCTTCGCAGTAGTTCAGACGTCTCCACCACCGTCACCGTTCCTCTCAGCAATATTAGCTGCTTATCAGCCAGTAACCTATGAAGATGAGGAAGAAGCCTGGCGCTGCCATGTCAATCAGATGTTATCGGAGACAGATGGCTCCTGTGCTGTGTACACCTTTCATATCTTCTCCAAGCTCTTTCAGGTCAGACTGTGTGATTGTGTGAATAAATTATAAAAGATTCCCTGGATGTTAAATGATCATTGCTTGATTGTACTGATGTTGGCAGGATCTGGAGATTCAAGTTGCTGGAAGACTGGTCAGGTAAGCCTGCACTTTCCCACACATGGTGCTCTATAATGTATTGCTGGGATTTGTATTTATCTGGTACATTATACATAGGTACAAATACCAGCAATGCATTATACACTGTATGTATAATGTATTGCTGGGATTTGTTGTACTCCTCTATAGCTGGTGATATTCTGCATTGCGCTGTATAGAGGACTACAAGTCCCAGCAATAATACATTATACAGCGCAATGCAGAATACCACCAGCTATAGAGGACTACAACAAATCCCAGCAATAGTACATTATAAAGTGGTACAATGATTGACCTTATGGGCACCCCTGAGTTAGATCATCGACCTCATGTCCATTCACATAGGACAACCAATAGTGTGTAAAAGTGCATGCTGCAAATGTTAAATGTGCATGTTCACAAAATACTGGCACTTTCACACAATAAGTTACATATGATTATTACCTTGACTGGAACACGGGATGGCACTTATGTATATGACTGAATGTTCCTAAGGAAAAGCTAATCAGCTAGACTGGATTTTTCCAGGCCAGACGATTGGTTTACCTAATGAATCCCTGCCCCAGGACTCAGTAGTGTCTTGATTGAAAAGGGAAGCTGTACTGCTACATCATACATGTAGAGAATGTGTATGAACTGTTGTTTCTTCACTAAGCTTGTGGGAACAACCTTTCATATGCAACTCAGCTCAAGTCTGCAGGTGATTTATCTGCAGGGGTAGGTCTTTCCAAATGATAGACTTCTTGTGCCTCGTGATTGCATAGATATACACTCATACAGTTTAAGCAGGCAGCTTTGTGTTTTCATCTGTAAAAAGAATGACTGTTTAAGAGCGGTATCAAATAAGTGTGTCTGACGTCTGCATTCTGGTGTACTGTCAGCCACAATGATTGTCTCTTCTCTTTGTAGTCGATTCAGAAAAAGTTTGGGACTGTGACAAATGATTCCATTAACTTCTTGGGAGAAAGCCGTCAGAGAATAGGCACAAAATTTAAAAGCTCCTTGGAGGTAATGATGGCATGTTCGGAGTGCCCAACAGTGTTCGTGGATGCGGAAACGGTAGGTTTTGACGTTGACCTTATGAAATGTAATAAGGAGTTGCTTACCAATAAAAGTCCTGTTGAGTTCTTTCTTACAGGTTATATTTCTTTAAATTGCATAACTGAATTTTGAACTCATTAAAAACTCATAACTCAAGTTAAAGCAGACACCCGCAGACACTAAGATGATTAGTATTCTACATTAAAGAAGAACTCCGGGCAAAAGAAACCTTAACCTTGCAGTAAGGCTACCCCCGCACTGCAAGGGTTAAGTGCTCATTTTGTCTAGGAAGCTAAAATAACAGAGATATACTCAGCCAAACCACAATCCTGGCTGGCTCCTAGACTGGGATCCTTCAGCCTCATGCTCACTCTGCTCCAGCGGTCTAAGGTCCTATGAATCATTACGTCCTATACAATATATAGGGCGTGAGGATGCCGAGGGACATTCCATCGCTGGAGCTGAGAGGGAGGGAGGCTGAAGGGACCAGTCTAGGAGCCAGCCAGGATCCGTGGTTAAGAGTTCTTCTTTTAAAGTCCAGCCTTTGCTTTTTATAACTTAGTGCTAATTTTATAATTTGGTCAACAGCTAACACCTCATTAAACAATGTTAAACATGTAATAATGTGTCATACAGGCACAGACCAACCGGGTATATGCAGTATGTAATACAATCATTGCAGTATTTGTTTTCCAACTTTGACAGTTGCATTAATAATTGTTGTACGTCGTTCTCTATTTTAGCTGATGTCAAGTGGCTTGTTGGAGACATTGAAGTTCAGTGTTTTAGAACTACAAGAACACTTGGACACATATAATGTGAAAAGAGAGGCTGCAGAACAGGTACGAGATGTTTATCCATCAGCCTTTATCTAGGAAATGAATGAAACCGCTGTATTCATCATACTTCCACAGCTACAACAATTCAAACTTCCTCCTTCTCAAGGTCATCACAGCCTATATGCAGGGTCTCGAGTTTATCATTTCCCCTGTAAAATATTGCAGAATTTTAACTTGAGCAAAGATAACCTTCTGCCCATATGTCTGTGAAGGTTCTCATTCATCCAGGTCATGGTATATCTGTACAAAATAAGTCAAGGCAACTTATTTTTTTTACAGCTACTTCTGCCCATAGTGTCTGTCTTCTTTTCTCAAATTGTTATTTTAGTCAGTTAAATATACAGTTTTGCCTTTTAAGTACACTTATTTTTAACAATATTATCTATATACATTTACATATCTTGGACACCTTACAAATCCAATTTGTGGGTATTATTAGGATTATATGAGGGATGTGGTATGGTAGATCTGATGAGGGATAGATAGCTATTTACCTAGCAGCTCCCTGCAAAGAAATCAGTAAATATTTACCTGCCCATGTGCCTTCCCATCCAGATTCCTCCTCTTTGGATATCCAAATGTTGCTGGCATTTGACACTTCTGGTGGGTGTGGGATGCTGGCATCTCTTTGTGGGTTCCTTCGCAGGCCCCTACATCACTACAGGGTACAAGGGCTGGTGCAACAAGGGATCAGGCATCCAACATAACTGGAAGCGTGGACGCTACTAGAGATCTTTCAGCAAGCTTAGACCTGCAATGTAGCAAAGTTCAGCAGCATAGGCAACAGAAGCAGTAATTCTTTCTTGCTTTCTTTTCAAAAAGCTGCTTATTTTATTTTGTTTAAATAACCACAGCGTCACTTTAAATGTGTTGAATAAAGATTTAATGCAAGTAGTGAGACATCATATAAAAGATCTGTTTTCCAAATTAGCCAAGAGCGCAACCTAAAGTGAGCTTGATAGCACTTTCTGTAAACTACCTTTACTACAGTGTGCCCCATCCTGCATCCAGTGGTGCCTGCACATTCCTGTTGTTGGTCATTGACCCCTAAACCCTACAAATGCCTCACACCCTTCTCTCTGCAGTTCCAGGGCTGCAACTAATGATTATTTTCATAATCCATTAGTTGGTTAAAAAAAATTCCGATTAATCGTATACAAAATTAAATACCATCCTTAATCTAAAATAAAATACACAAATGAAGTGTTGCAAACAAAGTTTATTCCAGAATAAAACTGCATGCACAATTAGTTTGCAATTGCACTGCACATGAAACGCACGGCATCGTGGTACTGTGCATTCCAGTGGAAGCGATCACACTATGGGTGCGAGGCAAGTTTTGGGGTGCCATTGAAGTGAATGGCACTGCAACGCACCCCCCCGCGAAGCAGAAGGCTGGAACCTTTTTTATCATTTTTCTTTTAATAATTGTATTGTAAGCACACGGCGTTTGAATAGCTTCAGCCGGGGAATGACAGCTGCTAGTGGCAAGACTCCACAGACGGCAGCTGAATGTAAATACAGCAGGTAGTGGGCTGGTACATTAGCCAATAGCAGGTTGGCTATTGCACCCGCCCACTGCTTGCTGTGCGTTCCTCCCAGCATGGAGGAGAGAGCTGGGGGATCCAACCAACTAAACGATAATAAGAATAGTTGACGACTATCAGGGCCGGATTTACTCCACCTGCCGCCCCAAGGCCAGGTTCCACAACCTTTTTTTTTACTGTTTCTTTTATTTTTATCACTTTTTATTTCTTTATTCAATTATTTCTTGGCGCCCCGAGGCCGGGCCTCGGTGGCCTTGTGGGAAATCCGGGCCTGACAACTATTCTTATTATCGATTAGTTGATTGCAGCCCTATGCAGTTCCCTAAAGCAAATTGTACAGTAAGGCTACAGTTGCTTTTAAATGCATTCACCCACACTGATTTAATCCTGGTTAAATTTAATATATTCTTGAATGTTTAAATTTTTTTTGTATTCCACACACTAGACCGTTTTTCATCTTTTTATTCTCTGGGAAATAAAACAAAGAACCACTGTGGGCAACAACTTCCCTTTTTTCCTATTTTTACAAATAGGCCCCCCGTATTAAAGGAGAACTATGGGGTCAGTGTTTTTCCCCATAGTTCTCCTTAGGGTAACGGGAGAACACAAACTAGCGCCCTCCCGTTACCCTAAGCTAAGCATACTGAGACGCCGGAGCGGATCCCAACTTAGACGACGGGATCCGCCCAGCTGCGTGAGTGACAGCTGGCTCTGCCTATCTAGAGGCAGAGCCAGCTGTACCCTCCCCCGTCCGTTCCGCCAGTAAGCGTTGGCAGATCGGAGCGGGTAGAGGGGAATCCAGCCCCTCCCCCTGTCACAGCAGAGAGCCGTGACAGGATCGAGAGGTGAGTGAACACGGTATGTGAACACGGTATGTGTTCGCTCACCTCCCGATCTACTGAGCCGACCTGTGACAGTCTCATTGTCACAGGTCGGCTAGAACTATGAGGTGAGTGGAAATCACTCATCTCATAGTTCTTCTTTAATACATTTAATACTGAAATGTCACTAATACATCATCATTGTATTGTATTTGTCTTGATTTCTAATGCAGGATGCTTCCTATATGGCAGTGTGGATGACTCCTCCCTCTACGTCACAGAGTGGGTTTTAAGTGTGTTTGTGACGGAGGATGTTCATTAGTGTTCAGAGCACTTATTCTATAAAGGCGGCTGTCAGGAGAAAATAAGATTTACAGTGGACCTCGGGTCCATGTCACTAATTGAATCTGGCGCTGTATTCCTCAGAGAGCTCTTCCTTCGTCTTCTCCCTCGCTAATGCAGACCTCTGCGGTTAATTCAGTGAGGCCCCAATTAAATTGAGCCGACCAGGAAAACACATTCTTCTTTCCTCATTGTTGCAGTCCTTGAAGGTTAGCCAGAGGTTATAGTGATTACTATGAAAAATCTATAAATAGCTGGAAATGCGTGACCATAGCGTTACTTGTGAAGGAGCTGTCATATACCTATGTGATTCGTGCATTAAATGCGGTTTTTATGTGGTTTGGTGTGTTTGGCTTCTTTTTCTGCCTATTATGTCTTACTGCACACTGGTATTAGGCCAGTCAGTTCCTTCTTAAAGTGCAGCAGCACTTATTTATCCGTGCATTTGCACTTGCAGTTTTCTCTTGGTCTCCCTGCAAAGCTCCACAAATACCTGTTGAGCCTGCCAGGGAAGTCCACCTAATTCAACTACCTGTGATGGTATGTCAAGGGTTCTTGTTTTTTTGGTATTCTGGTGATCCTGAAATATATCTGCTTGTGATGCTGGCAATGCATAGTGCAGGCTCCTTGCTTCAGCCTCGTACATACAGAAAGTTTGTTGTAGAAAACAGCCAAAAGTTTTTCTACTACACCAATCAGATTCATACCTCAATAGTTTGAATGTGAGTTTTGACAAAGAGCAGAGAGAGAGGGGAAGTTACACGGCAGAGTGTCCAGGACTTACAGTCCTACCGTCTGCCTCCAGACCCTGTATGTGCCGTTTGTGTTTATAGCTGCGAGGGGTTTCAGAGAACTCATATTAAGGGAAACTGAGGACATTTTCTGATTTTATTATGGTATGTGTTTGCTGTTTGTTTAACCTGTTGGCTAGAATTGCTCTTGGTTTATTCTTTATCCAAAACCTTCGTTCTTAGTAGTATTGGGTGAATACTGACCTGTTGGTTTTAACTTGTCTTGTGTGTTTATAGTGGCTGGAAAATTGCAAGAAAACATTCAGTTCTGGAGATGGCAGTCATGTTCCCAATACAGAAACCCAGGTAAGCTACCTAATTGCGTTCAAACTGAGCTAATAGGAACTGTGTTAGATTTGAGTGTGCATGTTGTGGACAGAATACATTCCTGTGCCTGGAGCTGACAGGCCAGATCATATATAATCTAATAAGTCTAATGAGCAGTAGTCTGTTATTAGAAATGATTGACCTATTTTAGTTGTAATTACAATAACCAGTTTGTCATATTCCTTCAGGATGACTTCTTTACCCACATAGCAATAATTAGGTGTATTGTGTATTTTGGACCCTCTATAGTCAGTGTACACTCTTTAAGAACCTTAAAACCTTTTAGCTGTGTGTAGATTACAAAGGCTGTTGTATGTAGGTGTACACACTGAGTTGCATGCTGCCATAACCTTACTGTTGTATGCTGACTTTAAGAAGATCTCTTATGCCATTGGGTCCATTTTCTTGGCAGTCTTACAAAATGTTGCCATGCCACTCTGAAAATGCAGCCCGATTGTAAAGATACCATGCTGTCTTTTCTCTTGTTGCCATTACCACCCTAGGCTGTTTTGAACACATCACACTATCCAGAAAACATGGTAGGTTAATTAGCTTCTGGCCAAATTGGGTCCAGTATGACTGTTCTCTGTAAAACACAGAGGATCACGTTGGTGCTATAGAAATAAACTAAGCAAAGGGGTTTAGTTACTGTGTTTATGATTGGATTAGAATGCTGTCATAATAGCAGTTTTTGGTGGAGGGGTGGGAGGTTTATATCTATAGATTCTTTCCCAGCTACTTGGCTGAAATTTAACCCAACACTTTCCACGCAAAATTCAATTCTTATTAATAGATGGGATTTTTAGGGAATGGCCTCTTGTCAGCCTTAATGGCCTTTTCTTTTTTGTTTTGTTTTTATTATGAATTTTAGAATGAATTCTATTGGAGCTTTTATTTTTTGCCTTGTTTTTAGAATCATTCCAGAGTGTGTTGCAGCTAAATGAAGACTTTAGACTACTTTCCAAAATATATCATTTGCAAATGCTCCTTTATTTTTCTGCTAAAGCTTGAAGAAGCAAGCTTTGTTCAGCCACCGTGTGATGCCCTCATTAGGATAAAAAGGGCAGGTGAAGCAGTCTCTTAGTATAGATTTGTGCACACACCTCCCACGGTATAATACTAAGGCGATCTCGCCTTTAGAGAGAAGCTGTTAAGACATTGGTGACTGTTTGCCTGGCGTTCCAAGGATCTTAGAGTATAACTAACTTTCCGTCTTTCTCTTTCTTTGTGTTTTTGTGACCTGCTCACCTTCTTGCTTAGCAAATGGAAGTTCTAGCAGTAAGTGATGGTTCTCCATTTATCCAATACTAAACATGTCAGATCAAAGCCTGACTTTCACCTGTCTTGTCCATTTGTTGAGCTAGCAACGTCTTGCCATTGTAAGATTACAGTGTGCTCTTGGTCTGCATAGTCTTTGTCCATGAACTGTTGACCGCTCATTCAAATCTCCTTACTCATATATAGTTTCTGGGATTTTTCTTACTGGTCCGGTACCATCTTCATCATGTTACAGTAAATGTGTAAGAGTATGACACCCCTTTGGCCTGTCTGGTAGTGAAAATGAAGAAATCCTCCCTGTTATTTAAAGGGCAGTATCCTGATAACAATTGGCTCCTTCTGCCATCATTCCTTCCTCACTTGTGGGGCTTGAATGCTGGCTACAACTAGTACAAAGAACATAAAAACAGGAATATTACCTAGGAAAACAACAAAGGTTCATAAAATCAGTGTCTGTGCTAGTGATTCAGCAGTTATTTTTCTTTTTTTTAGATGTAAAGAAATTTCAGATTAACCCAAAACTGACATATATTTGCATGACCGTGCTGCAAGTATGGGATAATGCACGGTATTGCATTTCTTGTGTTTGCTGAGATGTGCTCCAAATATGCAACAGAGTTCACTAGGCAAACTCTATAAAGTACTGTTTCTGAGGCTTCTACTCAAGTCACATGAAAAGTGCACAGATTAAACATTCAGTAGCCATACTATTACCTTCCTGTATGCATATTCTTACAACATAAGCAGTTTGTTAGACTCCAGGGCAAGTTTGGGAACACTGTTATAAATAGTAGTGTTTTCACACAAAAATAGGTTTTTCCCCTCTGCATTGGCTGGGGGGTTGTTAAGGGAACTGTTTAGATGCAATACTGCTTCTTGCAGTACCTTTTTTAATTTTCAGCATATTAATAAAATGGAATTTCGAGCAGGAACCACCAACACATATAGCAGTTGCTTTTCAACTCCTTCACTCCCACAGCTCACCAGCCACTGAAGTGCTATACTACAACTCACTTGTCCTATGGCGGTGCTCCCTTGCTTCATAAACTAGCAAAGAAAGCTTCATTGCAGTTGATTAAGAATCGGCAGGGTCTCAGCCAACAAGGAAGAGATGTCCATTATGTGAAGTGACCATTGCATTTTGGTAATTTTTCTGTGAGCAAGGTCATTCCAGTGGCAGAATTTCCTGTGTGACATAGGGGGCTAATCCCTACCCACCAGCTCTGTCACATAGAGAAGAGAATAACCTCAGCCCTTTATAAACTCTATGCCGTGTGATACCAAACTGCTTATCCATACACATTCACCTCACACGTCATCAGTTTTCTGACCCTTCGTGTGGGACCAAGTTCTGCAGCACACAGATAGCTCCAAGCTTCTCTTTAATACAAAAAAAAAACACATAAAAGGGCATTTATTAAAACAGTGTATCAACTCAGTACTCAGGAATGAAATCATAAAAATGCATTTAAGTACCTTAACAATTAACAAAAATGTATCTTATTTGTGTATCACTCGGCTGTAGATGCTCAAATCATCTCTGAATTGGTGCTGACACTGTCCTTCCTTCTGGAGGGTGGCTACTTTTGTTCCCATGGTCCCTGTGTGCGATATAAAGTAGTCACCGCTCCAAACTCACTCCTGTGATGGACTACAATCTCACGTTTAGTTTACTAATTTGTATATAGATTGTACTCCGTCACAGGAGTGAGTTTGGAGCGGTGACTACTTTATAACACACACAGGGACCATGGGGAACAAAAGTAGCCACTCTCCAGAAGGAAGGACAGTGTCAGCACCAATTCAGAGATGATGGAGGATCTACAGCTGAGTGATGCACAATTATACAGTTTTGTTAATAGTTAAAGTATAATTAAACTCTGGGAGGTTTATTTTGCATATATCTACTGCTATTAAGCAGTAGATATATGCAAAAAAAAAATTTTAAATTACCAAAAAGGTAATTACTTACCTGTGTCTCTGCCGCTCGCTCCCGTCTGAAGATCTGTAGCTCCTCGAGCAGCGTGAAGGACCATGAGGCAGGCACATGCGCAGTAGATTGGCCGGGAGAAGAGAGACACAATGCACACAGCCGAGAGCGTGCACGTCAGACAGACACTGTTGGGACACACAAGACACAGCTGTCAGCAATGGATCAGAGACCGGCACCAGTGCTGGAGGAACTTGTGACAACAAGTGGACGGGAGAAGATGATCGGATCAAGAGGCTTCACTTAAGGGAAGTCCTTACAGCACAATTACAATGGGGGAAAAATGCTGACTTTCATGTCACCTTAAGATACTTGAATGCATTTTTAGGATTTAACTCCTGAGTTTAGTGTCACTTTAAAAAATATTTTGTTAGGCCAATTCGTCATAAAGTTATTGTCAAGTTAACAGATACATATTAAAGCTGCCATGACCTCTGTTTATGAAGGGGTTAAACCTTAATTATTAGGGAAAATAAAAGGTAACACCTATGTATATTTCATGGCCTGATTGCTACAAAATGGCAGTGTGCCTTAAATAGCCTTAGCAACTGGTTCAAGTATACAGAAGAAAAGTAGTTAAAAAATTGTACTAATGGGTAGAGAGTGGAATATATTCTGAATGGGGTTCCCCTGTACATGTGTAGTAAGTAGAGTATTAGATGCTCATACTGCTAGAGAGAGTCATTGTAACATAACATCCTATCTTAGGCCACATTCTCTGTTTTGTTGGCTTGCTACTAGTCTTCCTCATGAAATGAATCTAACTGGCTGCTGGTTTCTAAGTAGCACGTCTGATTCCTTCGGCAAGTCTGTTTCCATGTGGTTTCTTTATGTTTTTTTTTAAATTTAACACAGTTATTAAACCCTTTGTAGTCAGTAGACGCGTGCCCTTTCTTCCTTGCATTAACCAGTAACAACATTTGATTATACAGTCTGTTGTGTAGGACTAGTGCAATGCAGTCACTTCTTGCAATTTTTCCATCTCGTCTAGGAGCTTGAGCTGTGCCGAAGGCTTTACAAACTGCACTTCCAGCTGCTACTGCTCTTCCAGGCCTACTGCAAGCTCATCAATCAAGTGGACACGATTAAGAAAGGGACTGAGGTATATTTTATTAAAATGTGTGCCACCTGATTTGCTTATAGCTATTTTGCCAGCTGCAAGGAGGCAGCCATTTTGTGGACTGAGTTAAAACTGGCCATATATAGATACACTGGGCTTACCTGACACACCACCATCCTGACTGCAGGTGGTCCAGTCTGTGAAAGACTTTATCATCCATGGTGAAGAGGGACAGCAGAAGAGGCCATTTTTAATGGAGTGAAACTTTACTGTCAAGTTGTTGTTGCTGTCTGCCTCTAAAACTGACTTTCACCCTCTGTTTGTCCTGGTGATTATTGCCACCAGGACAGAAAGTGATGGGGAATGAAAAAAATTTCAGTTGTCACTGCAATAAGAGGCTAGGGTACATTTGCCACTGGGGTCTTTTGATTTGGTGACAGCTGTCTAGGGGATTTCCCTTTGGACTTTGGAGGGATTATCTCTTACCTACTGTTATGTCTTCAGGACAGGACGTGAAGAGTTTTACGCTTTCCCTTCCCAAAATAAAATAAACATTTTAGTTGGAGATACTCCATCTTAACAGTATTTAGTGAAGGAGAGTGAAAGGAAATTTCCCCAATGGGATCCATGGACCAAACAAAAGTCTGGCAGGGATTTTTTTTATAGCACATGTAACCCCTGATTTACATTTAAGGCCCATTTATATTTGTGCTGTGGTAACATTCGGTACACGTTACTGCAACGTGCTTACAGCAGTGTGGTGCATTGCAGTGCCATTCATGTGGTTGTATTGCCACACTAATACAGTAGTGGGCAATGATCCAGCAGTGGACCACAACACGCGGCATATGCATTGTGGTGCGATGCATCAGAAAGAACAGTGCATGCCTGTTTTGATTGTGTTGTAGTGCATTGGCAGCCCATTCATAGTGAATGGGTTGCCTTAGCACAACACATATTTACGCAGTACAAAAGTGTGAATATGCCTTAGTTTTGTAAACCACAGTGTGATATAAACAAGTAGCATTTGTTTGTTTCATCTCTTTTTCATCCTGTATTCAATGCACTGATATCTTGTAGACACTTTTTCCAGTCACTTCCTGTCTAAATGCATGCACTCCAGTAATCGCTGCACAGCATTTATCAGGGCAGGTTTTCTGATGGTGACAGCAGTGGACTATGTTGCGTGTGTTTAAATGGTCACTTGTGGTCTCCACCTGAAACCTGGGTGACAGGGTGACAACTAGGAGAACAGTTGAGAGACAGTAACAGAGCAAGACAGGATCACCAGGGTGATTATTTTAATGAAAGCTTCAAATTTAAAAATATTTGACATCTACTTTAATGCTTTGCCCAGGTCATAAACATGTCGGAGGAGCTATGTCAACTGGAGGCATGTCTGAAGGAAGCAGAAGCCACCTCTGACATTGGCATTGAGGACTGTGACTTCTCTGATTTTTACCAAGCAAGCACTGAGGCTGCTGTCCACTCTCTCATTGAGGCCATGAGAGGAAAGGAATTTGTGTCAGCCATAGCACAAGTCAAGGCATTCAGGTATGGTATAAATCGTATTCATTACTATTAAATTCTGACCAGGAGTGTGTGGTTTAATAGAAAGTCTTTTGTGAAGTTCTTTTTTATAACCATTTGGACAGTATATCCATGTTACACTCTGTATTCAGTGTGAGAATACATCAGTGATGATAGCATTATTGTTCTGCTCTTTTTACTAGAGGGGGTGTTGACATTCTTTACTCCTTGCCACCATACCCAAGCTGAGGGTACTTGTAGACCGTTTGCATACCAACAGAAAATGTATTGGTTGGAAATCATGGTGCAATAGATTGTGTCTTAATAAACAAACCTTTAGAAGGGATGTAACAAATAATGCTGGAATGCATGATAATCCTGTTGGGATTGCAGTGGGTCCTCTTTGGGTGTTGTCTGTAGAGGTTTACATGTGCAACATGCACAAGGTAAGTTTGAAGGCCTATTTAAGAATTGGTTGACTGAAATCTTACATTAAAGTGTACTTCAACTTTTGCAGTCAAATTTGAGCAAAACCCTCTATATGTTTGTTGTGTGGTCCCATTCACACGGGATAACAAAACAAATTATTTTATAAAAAATGTCTTTACATGTGTTGTTGCAGCAGGCAAAATGACTGAATCCAGGTTCTGCTGAGTACCTTCACAGCAATCTTTCCTTATAGAAAGGACTGAAATTTGTGGATTGTGTTTCTCATTAACATACAATGCCGCAGCCAGGGTTGTAATCCTTTAACCCTTTTCTAGGACAGGCAGTGTTCAAAACTACATTACAAATAATAAAAAAATGAGCCAGCACAGTACAGACAGGGTTAACAAACCCCTCCCCCATCACACCCCCTCCTAATATTACAAAGGAGGAGAAGCATTTAGACATTTTAACCCTTAAAAAGCCAAGAAACTGTAACCCAAGTAAACGCAATTTAAACTGCAAGAAGCATTTTTTATTTTATTTTTAGCTTATGCAATGTGAATGGGAACATGTAACAAATATAAAATAGGTGTTATCTCAATTTGGCTGTGAAAGTGGAAATACACTTTAAGATTTGAAAACTATTTATAATGTGCAGTTAGCATGGCAGGCAACAGATATGTAACCGCTTGCGTGTTATCCATCTGCAAAGTTTGCAACTTCTATTGAGGCCATCATAGAAAATTGTTGGATTATTGTTATTCTAGCCAAATCTGACCAAGAATTACAATCTAGAGAGCTCGATGAGGTGCCTTATTCTAATGGTAGGTGGTCAAATCTAAGTTGAACTTCAGCCAAAATGTTTTGTTTTGTGGATTATGGAGCCTCTGGCAGGTAACGGCAATCACTGGGACAGGAAGGGAGCAAACATGTCCCCAAAAGATACCCAGATAGCCATATAATCTGACAATTAAGTTCTAACTTTTCACCATTCTTTGAAAAATGAAAGAAAAACATTTTTGGCTGGAGTTACACTTGAGTGCCAAGTCTTCTCTTCAGCTACCATGATACTTTGATGACTAGTTATAATGTGTACTGAGAAACACCATGTGTGTATGGTGTTCCCAAACTGTGCTTGTTCCTGCGCCATCATAATAGATCTTTTTTTTTTTTGCTTTCTAGGACTATCTGGCCCAGTGATATCTTTGGCAGTTCAGAAGATAATCCCATCCAAACTCTGCTGCATATATATTTCCGTCATCAGACTCTGGGCCAGACTGGCAGCTTTGCCATTGTTGGCTCCAAGCAGGACATGTCTAAAGCCAGTTCTAAACTGATGGAGCTAAATGTAGAAATCCGAATGTCACTACGTATAGTGCAGTCATACCAACTCCTATTAAAAGCCAAGCCTGTCACCAGCATGGTGAGCACTGACATTTAAGTATCTGCTACCAAGAAAGCCTCGAGAATGAAAGCACTGGACGTCTAAAGATAATATGAAGCACCTTTGACGATTACTGTATATCTTTGAGTTGCATCTTTTTCAGAACTGTTCTGATCTCCAGCAAGTGGGACTTTCAGAACCATGGCCCCGTCTCCCCTCCCTCCCTAATTCCCCTCAAACTAGCAGCAAAATGTGATGGATGCTTTGGTTCTGTAAAATTAATGTGACAGTAGAAGCTATTTTCTCCCATTCTGTTGCATATAGTGTACCATCCACAAGCAAAAGGGCTAACATGATGTATATAAATAAGCAGTGGCAATATGGAGACTGAATCCATGAGGAAAGATGGTGGACTTCTGGTCCAGGTCACTTGAGTCTGAACCCTGATGATGTACAGTGTCAAGACTGTCCCATGCGACATTGGCAGATGACTTATAAAGACTGTGGAAACCATTGAGCTCATTATTTATGTTTGATATGTTTGTCTTTTGTTTTCTCTTTTCCTCTTTTGTTGCCCTGCCTAAGCAGATGGGACCTTTTGGTTGTGTTCCTTGGTATGAATGTGTGTACATAGTCTCTACGCATGCCTCAAAGAGTTCTGCAACATTATTTTTGGATAAATTTTTATTTTATTAGATCTAACAACCCATAGCTTGTAAATGGTAGTACATTTAATTATTTTAAACTGAGCTTTCCTCTGTATTTCTAAAGAAAAAAAAACAAGAAAAAAGAATCTTAATTTTATTAGATGCTGCTCAGATCTCTGACCAGTGCTTATGGTATAAATACTGATAACTAACCAAAAAGTAGCTGCCTGCAGAGACTTTAATAATGTATATTTAGATATATGCTGCCCACCAGCAGCTCTTACTAGATAACTTATTTTATTCTGTATATATTCTAGGATCTGTGGGTAAAACCAGTATTTTTCTTGTAAATGTGTGCAACGCACTGTTCTGGGATGACCAGTGTATATAGCCTCTGTTAACCCTTTCTGCAGCAGCATTGAAAGGACACCTCCTTTGGTGGACTGAAGTAGAATTTGTATTCTATGGTATAGAACAGGGATGGTCAAAAGACAAAGTATTGACGATTCCTTTATTTTGTTTTTCTTTTCATAACTTATTCATTATTGAGGGAATTGTTGAAGAAAAATGTAAAAAGAAGAGAAAAGCTACCAAAAATATATACAGCATTGGCAATATCAGTTCACTGTAAAAAGGAGGAAAAAATGCAGCACAACGAATAAACCATTTCTGTATACACCACAAGCATTATTATTTTTGTAAAATATATGAATGTAGTTCCAGGGTACTTGTGATGAAAAGGAATATTCTGCATTTTATACGTTTTATCCACTGTGATTATATAAGAATAGATTTCTTTGCACAAGGCTATGTGGCCTTTTATATAAAGGACATATTTGGTGTTGACTTTTGTTGGGGCCAACAGACCCCCGAAAGCCTGAACTGTGCTGTTGAATATGTGCTAACTGTAACACTCGGAACTGGTAGACTGCGGTCAAGAAGTCGCCATGGCTTGAAGAGGTTAAAGGTTAGACACAGAGCACTGTCAACGATGGCAAGACATGATCCTGTAAGCAAAAACCTTTTTGTCCCGTCACAGAGCCACAGGAACTTTTAAGTAAATGTCACACTGAGCAGTCGCTGCGTTTCCTCCCCTTGGAGGACATTACGCAGGGCTTGTGGTATTTTAAATGGCATTCTTGGTATAAATATTGCTTACTGGGGAGAGCTAGTTTTATTTAGCAGTGCAATACATTTTTACTTGCATCATCTTACCAGCTTTTATTTTATTTTCTTTGTTTAACAATAAAAACCATTGCATACGTTACATTGTTCTTCCTTTTCTGCCTTAAGTCCACTGCATGCATCTGCCATCATTGTTTTTGCCTACACTTTGAGCAGGGGGGTGTTATTGCTTCACAATGGTTTCTGTGAAAAAGTTGCATCAGCATGCGTGTTTATGTATGTATGTATGTATGTATGTATGTATGTATGTATGTATATATATATATACACACACACACACACACAGCAGTATGAGCAGAAAAATCCACTCAGTAAAAATAAAAAGAGGGTTACCAGTGTGTGTGCGTGCGTTTAAATGTATTAGGCTACATTGTGTAACTGGTTATGGCCTTCTCACACTATTGCAGGGCATTAACCATTGTGATTGTTAACCATTGTGATTGTACCATTTTTGGCAGCACACCTCCATTGCACAAACACATGTAGTGTGTATTACTGGAACACAGTGTGAATGGGTCCTTATTATCCAGTAACTTTGTTTGGACCTAAAGCAGTAAGCAAAACCTCTCCAACACCAAGCCGCTTCTGACCAAATGTAGTCTGTACAGACCAGGGGGTAGGCAACCTTGGTACTCCAGCTGTCATAAGACCACAAATCCCATCATGCTGCTGCTTCTGGAAGTCATACCTATGGCAGTTAGTCTTCAAATGCCTCATGGAAAGTGTAGTTACACAACAGCTATAGGATTGGTTTCCTACCCCATTATATACTGTGCATCTTAAGGGCTCATGCATAATGTTGCCTGTGGCCAAATAACAAATTCTAGCATATTTCTTCCACCACAAAGTCACAGATGCTGTATGCGGTTCTGTGCCACACTTGCATAAACACAAGCATGTCTATGGATGCAGAATCCAGAACAGGCTGCCTTCAGAGATTGTGTGCCCATGTACATGTTTACACAAGTCAGCGTATACACATAGAGCCATGGATGTCTATGAGAGGCTGTACACCATACCTGTGGCTCCCTGCCAGGGGAAATACTTTGGCATTAGGTGCATGAGCTCCACAGGACCTGTGTATTACACACACACACACACAACTGTACTGAGAACCACTCAGCTGAGAGAAACTTCCATTGCAGGAAGTGCTACCACTCTAAACTGCAAGTGGGCCGTAGCTTTGGTGGTCATTCATTTTTTCAGAGTTTAGATCTCCTTTAAAATGTAAGCCCAGCTAAATGTTTCTTGTTGGATAGGAGAAGAGCTTTTGTTAGTGAAATTTCCTGGAAACCAGTAAAAACCTGTCAGGAATAATGTCAGAGCACAGGCAAAAATTAGAATCCATCAGCATTAAAGCTCCACTATTCTACTAACATTTTAATTTGTGTGGTTATTTTTTCCTGTCTGGGTAAACCGTTGTCACTAGAACAGGACATTGCTCTAATAAGTCCCAGAAACCAGTACAAATACGGATTCTATTCCTTCCCAACTATCTAAACCAAGAAGTTTTGCTGGACATACATTTTTACCCCTTTCTGCAAGCAGGAGCTGGTCCTTCCAGGAGATTGCAACACTGGTAGCAGGATCCTAATCCTGTGTTTGCTACCACAGTGATTATGAGGCCATCTTACCCATCCCCCATTGTAAAACGTGACCAGAACTGTTTGAACAACCTGAAGCTCAGGAGGTAAAATGGCACTATGTCTTGGCAATTAGTCCAGCTGTAATATTTGAAATAAGGCTCATTACTAAGGGGCCCATTCAGACATAGTCACCCTGGTAAATTGCATTAATGTGCATTGCAACATTTTTTTAACAGGCATGTGCTATTTTTTGGAATGCAGCGTGCTACGTGTGGTGGTGTGTTTTTAATGAATGTGGGTTGGAGCCGTGTTTCCTTATTGTGCTGAGTTGCCATTTAAAATAAATGGCATAGCAATGTGTTAACCAAACTGCAAAGAAGTGAATGGGTGTTCGAGGATTTTAGAAGCAATTTTAATTGAGTAAAGCTTCAATTATCCAATTATGTGAAAAGCAAGATTCCCATTTCATCTGCACATGATTAGGTATTCAAACTTAAAATCAGCCGGAGTACACATCAATGGTGCTCAAATTTTGTAGCCAAAAAACTCCATCCATGGTCAGCAAGGCTTACTTTAATCACCATTAACCCCAAATCCTAGTCTGTGTGGTACCTTTAAACACTGTGGCCTTTACCCTCTGCATAAGGACTGGCTCATCTACTGTACTTGCCAAGATGAGAAAAAAACATTTAAATAGGGAATACATATAACCCATTCCACCATCCACACTAAACTGCACGGATGAACGGATCTCCTGCTGTGTGCTTTTATATTCTGACAGCAGTGCCAGACATTCAATTCCTTATTATTCTCTATTTTCTGATACTGGTGTGACATGAGTAGTGACCCAACAGGTACAGACATTCACTAGTATTGAAGGTTGCCCAAGATCTGCAGTGTACATGACTAGCAGATGCAATTTGGCTTGGGTAATTTCAGTAGCTATTGTGTCTACTTGTAGAGGCTCAATATCTGGCAAAATGATAGCAACATTATAGAAATATACCACAGTGAGACACTGAAAGATGGTTAGATATACAACCACGACATGACTCGCCTCCGGCAACGAGTTATGGTTATAGCCTATAAATCCCTTCATGACCATTGACATACAGTGTACGTCACTGGCATCAGTTTAAAAGAACTATGAGGTGAGTGCTTTTCACTCACCTCATAGTTCTAGCCGACCTGTGACAATGAGACTGTCACAGGTTGGCTCAGTAGATCGGGAGGTGAGCGAACACATACCAGTGTTCGCTCACTTCTCGATCCTGTCTCTCTGCCGTGACAGGGGAGTGGCTGGATTCCCCCCTCTTTGCTCCGATCCGCCAGCGCTGACTGGCGGAATGGACGGTGGAGGGGGCGGGTACAGCTGGCTCTGCCTCTAGATAGGCAGAGCCAGCTATCACTCACGCAACTGGGCAGATCTCGACATCAATGTCGGGATCCGCTCTGGCATCTCAGTATCCCGCGAGCTGTAGCTCGCGGTATGCTGAGCTTAGGGTGATGGGAGGACGCTAGTTTGTGTCCTCCCGTTACCCTAAGGAGAACTATGGGGAAAAGCCCTGACCCCATAGGTCTCCTTTAAACAGCCTATAAGCCGCCAGGACTTTTTATATTATTAAAGCCAACGGCCGGCTTTACAATAGAAGCGATTCTGGAGAGTCAACTGTCACCAGGTCGCTTCTACAGGCCCAGGAGTGGCATCTCTGGTATCAGGGGTAAGCTGGGGAGGAGAATGGAACATGTCTGTTCACCACTCTCCTCCCCATACTATGGGACAGGAGTGATGCAGTTCATCACTTCCGGTCCCATAGCAGTCCTTGCTCAGCTCCTGAAGCCCAGCTATAAGCTATTGAAGTGTGATCTGCACTTCAATAGCTTATTTGGAGTGTAAAGGTGATAATAGTGGTCTTTTGCACCCATTATCATCTTAAAGAGTACCTGTCACTGCCAATTGGCTAGCACATGGGGGACCCCCCTCTATGTGAAAGCAATTATAGAAAAAAAGTTTAAATATATAATGAAATAAATGTAGAAATAATAAGTCCTGCAAGCACACGCGTCTTCATGTAAACACACATCAGGTGCTCCTACGTATGAAAACGAAGATCGCGCACATGTTGGGTATAACCACGCACAACAGAGAGCAATAGTTCTAGGGCCAATATTTACACGCATCTCTAAACTGATGACCCGTGGGGGCTTCTAAAGAGTCATCTATGTACTTTGGGGTACTGAATTTTGTTGGTTGCACAGACTCACACAAATTTTTAACCTGGGCATGTTGGTTATCCATTTACTCGTAACCTCCTCCTTTATATTTTATGTAAAAAAATATACAAGGTTTGATAAGGAGTTGTGCCAATATCGTGCAACATAAAAATTTGCAACTGCCACCATTTTATTCTATAGGGTCTTGGCTTTCAGAAATGTATGTTTGGGGGTTTTAAGTAATTTTCAGGCCTAAAATGTGGATTATAACATGTAAACAATTAAGAGGGAGGGGGAGGCACACTGCAGACCACTCTAGCTAATCATTGCAAAAGGGAACAGCTGTCTGAAAAGGTCTTCAAACCTGCCTGATCCCTATTGATGAGCCGTGACTGGTCTCAGTGATAACTATCTGGCTGGACTGCGGACTCTTACCAGAATATTTGCAAATCCCATGTTGGAGGTAGGTGGTGTGAAAAGGACTATTTAGCCTTAAATGTTTCTACCGCCTACACAAACCCTAGTTGAAGTTTTAAATCAAGCCAATACAAATTTGAAGTGCCAATTTGCAGCTTTGTGTGCCAGAATGCACACACATTAACACATGCAATGAGGCGCATGTTAAGTCAGCCCAGCACACCTGTGCTATATTTGCCAAAGCAATCCACATTATACATTAGGGTGCTAGTCAGACTGAATTGCAGCAGAGCACAATGCACATATACCTGCATGTTATTACAATAGTTTTACCACAATACAAAGTTCAAATTGGCCCCAAGGGCTAACGTACACATGCTTTTGATATTAGCCTGTGCTTTTCTTCCCTGTTCCCCCTCCATAAAAGTCACTGAATACATGGCAGTGCATCCAAAGAAACACATGTACCAAGGGTGTGCTTTATACCCTTCCACGTTTAACCGATGTGTAACTGGTGTCTAATTATACAGTTGGCTCCATATAGGATGGCTTCAAGCATGTAAAAACTGTTCAGACCACATACAGCCCTCAGCAATGAAAGAATTGCAACTCAGTGTAGAGCATTTATAGCAAATAGGTCTTCTCAGTCCTGTATATAGCAGGCATGTGTTAAAAGTTTATCCTATTGGTAAGATTTCCCTTCACTATCTTTCCCAAAGACAACAGAAGTGAGGGAGGGGGGGCAACCCTTTCAGATAGTGTCACCAGTACAAGTTTCACCTCTCCTATTCCAGTGACCACTGAAAGATTGTGCATTACCCATTACATTCTGTCTCAGTGACAATGGTCACCACAGCAAGTGTAGTGTGAATCTCTGGAGACAGAATACAAACCGGACAAAGGCTCTAACCCTACCAAACTCCATCCAAACATGAATGGTCTGACTAGAGTTGGGTTTTAAGGTCAACCTTTTATTAGGAGTCACGTTCAATGCACACAAAGTCACCTGAAATAAGTTTCTTCATAACCTGGAGATTTTATTCATATACTGACAGAAGTGCTGTGACATTTTTTTATTATAATACAGTGTATTAAGCTACTCCAAAAAAAACAAAACACGCACACTTCTAGCCAAAGAAACAGGTCAGTAGGAGTAGATATAACAGGATTGATCATATGATATACTTGAAACTGAAAGTGCTATCACACGAGAGCCTCTTGCCCTTGCATCTCCCACACAAGTCTTGGCGATGGGGCCTCTTCGGGTCTACATGACGCTGCTTCACAGGACACACACATCTGGTTTGTTTGCAGCTCTGTGAAGGATATAGTGGGTAATTATCATGGCTGACAAGATTCTCTCCATACTACGCGGGCAGCCAGTGGTGCCCTGAACACTCCATTCACAACTGTTTTATAGACGCACAACCTCATGTGGCACATATACTGTATATTAAGCAGGCAGGCGTCTTAAACATACTCTCCCAAAAACATACTACTTTGAAAGGACAAAATATGCAAGTTTAAACACATGTTAAAAGGCCTGTCCCACTGGAAGCTAAACAGATGTAAGAGGCAGAGCAGGTATAATATCAAAGGCCAAAGACACTCACTTGGCACATAATGTCTTCCACTCGATAGGGATTGAAGGATTTCTGACATGTCCTGCAGAATTGTTTGAAGTACACCTGACAAAACCAAGCAGTACAGATTCAGCAAGTCACTGGCCTATGCCAAATCGAATGAGGGCAACAGACTGAAATCTACCTACCTTACTGGTGCCCTGAACACACCAAACATAGGCACTTTCCCAGCGAATATTGCAGTCTTTACAGTGGTAGTAGCCATACTTCTGCTCCAGGAACTAAAGTCAATAACAAACATTCATATTTATAAATTATAATATTACTTTTAATATGCAGACTTCCATTCATTCCATTTCGAAAAGGTTTATAATTGCTACAGATGGAGGTTTGTATTTTAATGTATTCCTATTAAGACTGCCAAACAGCTCTGTTGCAGCCATGTATTCTGTACATAGATCCCTTTCCCATGGATTCCCATCCCCTCCTATGATTGGCCCACTTCCCAGAAAAAAGCAATTGAGGACAAATTAAAGGCATGGTGTGTAGTAGGAGTTTTATCTTTGGGTGAACACTCATGCAAAGAGATGCAGCAGCTTTGCCCATTACAGCAACGAGACCAGGCTGGAGGTTTTAGCGAAGGCAAACCGCCTTACCTTTTACAGTTACAAAGGAAATGGCAAAGCCCACATTACTATCTCCAAGATGGAGCAGGTATGAATTTAATAGAATTTCCTACAAACCCTTGTATTCTGGAGGCATGTTTACCTGGAAGCATAAAACAGGTGTACTAAAGTAAATGTTAAAAGCTCATCCCTTTATTGCAGACACATCTAGATTTAGGGTCTGTGATTAGGTTTAGATATCTTACCTGCATAAAAGCAGGGATACGTTATCAACCCTTGTACCATCTTCAAATCTACTTTGCAGCATATATTAAAAACTATACATTAAAGTGCCAGTTCAAAACATTTGCCCATACACTGAAGGTGGATCTAACTTTTTATTGACCTTTCCCAGACTTAGAATACAAGTCAGTGACATAAGTAGCATTGCTGGCTTAACTGAAAAGTATCTTTTAGAGAAAGCTGAGAAATACACCACAGTGAATACAAGCTAATGGACTTCCCATTTTTAATCTACATACACCTAAACACAGATAGATTTGAAAGCTTAAAAATCCTGATACTATTACATACACAAATTACTTGCCTGGAATCTCAATCTTGTCTGCCCAAGAGAAGCAGTCAGCTGGCTCTCACTTTTGTCCTGTTTAGGCTCTTCTTTGGTCTCACCATCTACATTGCTGACCTCTTTGTTCTCATTCTCAGTTTCTTGTTCGCTCACCCCATCTTCAGCCTTATCAGATCCATCATCCACCTCCTGGAAAGTGGCAAGTCTTCCAGCAACCACAGGTGAATACACAGCAATCGTTCTGGGGAAGCGCACAGTCTTGGTGGGAGATACAGGGCTTCCGGGAACCTCAGGGCTTTGCTGAGGCTTCCTCACAGTTCCACTCCTTCGTAGAGTTCTTGGCCCCAATGAGCACTGGACAGATGCATCCTGCCTGGGGTTCACCTGAATCCCCACATCTCTGGTGTTTGCCTTCCTCAGCCTTGGGGTTAGGTTGGGGTTCACCTGAGACAAAATGGCCTTTAACTGGGCCCTTTGATAGTTGTCAAAATACTCCCCAGAGTCACCATAGTTTGTCATGTAGTTCTTTTGCCTCCAGCTCATGCCTTTACTTTTAGGATTGCAATACCTGTAGGAATAAGGGTTATACCCTGAATACATGTAGCTATCCATTGCCTCCTCCGTGAAGCTAGCCATAATGACTGGCCAGCAACACCTCCCAGGTGCTTCCTTAAATAGAGTCTTCCCTCGTTAACAAACAACCTGTGGATGGGATGTTTTTCATTTGCTAGGTTACACCCTTATATCTGCCTTGGAAAATAGACATTTATTTCAGTAACTTTTTGTATTTTGTTTAATTACATTATTATGGTATTATTGTAAAGCACTGAATGCTTAAAAAAAAAAAGTAAGCTACATTCCCCTTACCACACACAGAAAACAAACAATCTTTCCATCTAGTCTGTGAGTATCCATTCAGATTTATTTTACTGCATTGGCATTTGTATGTGTTTCAAAAACACTGCCATTTTTTTTTTTATTATACTGACAAGTGTGTGGCCATAATATTTAAAAAGATGCATCAGAAGTTTAATAAAAGAGCAAGCAGGTCACCTTACCCTCATTTGTATTATGTTGTATAGGCTCAAAGAGAAAAAGGGATTTACTTCTGATGCTGATGTTATACTGATCAGACCTTAATGGCATTAATCATCTTTGGATTACATAACACAGGATTGTTTTTTCTGATCGTCACCGGCACACTATATATGATGTGTGCATAGAGACCTGTGACAGACGGCCCTGCGTTATATACTAGTAGTGTAATGATTGGATTCCGTTGTCTATATTAGAATTAGCGCAGTATGCGCCTTGTTCATTTTTATTATCCTGTTCTTAAACATACATACATATTCATTTATAAAGAGGAGGAATGGTGAGATGTTGCCTGCAGCAAATAGCCAGAATCTTCCATTTCCCAAGCTACCTTACAAAATATTAGCTTGATTCTGGTCACAATGGGAAACGCATGCACTTTGTATAATTGTTGTGCCTGCTGTGTTAAGAGCTTTGCCAAATGACACACAAATCTTTTTCCGGAAGTCATTTAAACTGAAATTCTCTGAGTAGTGCATGATAAACATATATAAGAAACACCTTTTGTCCCAGGAGGTAGTGACATGTTGCATGCTTTGGGAGCAGACTCTTTCTTTATGCAGAATCAGAGCATTTTTTATGAAAAAACAAGCTTTAAGGCAAGGTTAGATGGGCGGTCTTGGGAATTGTTCCGTCAGTCATTTCATGCCAGCTACCCTGACAGATGAGAACCCCTTTCTCCCTGATCTACATTCTATGACACCATGGGAGCAGTTTCCATTGACTCCTATACTGGGAGGATGCAAAGATTATCAGCACAGTGTGGAATTGTCTGGCTAACTCTCCGCAGGCGATTCAAAGTATCTCAGTTGCTAATATTGGTGATCAATCACAACACAGATGGAACCTCTGGCTTACTGTGGTGTAAGTTACATAAGAAGCATGTAGCAGTGATTACCCTTCTATGACTACAAAATGCTCAGATTGTGGGCCCAGTCACACCAGAGTGTTGTGATAATTGCACATTACTATGCACAGTGCACACAATCGCATAGCACGCTTAGAGTGTGTTGCCATTCATTTCAATGGCACCCCTAACACACCTCCTGTCAGGCGTACATTGAAGCACAGCGCAATGTACAGTACCACAATACCATGCGTTGTGACGCAGTGACCAAAACGTAGTGCATGTCCTACTTTTTTTTCTGCACTACAACATGCAGTATTGCGTCCACCAGAGGTGAGTTTGGGGTGACGTTGAAATAAATGGTGACACAAAACACCTAGCGCACATTACCACACGCTAAGTGTGTTGTGCAACATGCGATTAGTGCAATGCTCTGGTGTAAATGAGCCCTGAGTGTGTGATCGCTACCACATGCTACTTGTGTACCTATTCATTCCATCTGTTTAGTGATCAATTACTACTCTAAAGCTGCCCATACACCTATAGATTATCTGCAGATTTTCTATGGTCAGATGAAAAATGTGCAACAGATTCCTCCATCTATGCTAAACTGTGTGTATGGAGGAATCTCCCACTGGGCCAAGCTTCAGTATCTTGATAGATAGATAGATAGATAGATAGATAGATAGATAGATAGATAGATAGATAGATAGATAGATAGATAGATTTATTTATTTGTCACATACATAATCGTACAAGTATGACATGCAGTGAAATGCTTACACGACTGCAAGAAGGAGAGGGAGAACAAGTAGAGAGAAGAATCAATAATAATATAAGACTTTTACATCACAAAATAAAATATCAATGTTAAAATTTAAATATTAAAAATTAAATTAGACTAAAAATACAAATACAGTATGAAGTGTAAAGTGTGCGAGTGCTAACAGCAGCAATATGGAGTGAATGAATTAAGGTGATGACCAGCAGTGTATTGACCTTCCTTTGACCATTCTTTTTAAAGTGCAGATATGCAGTAAATGTGAGTGTAAGAACATTTACCTAATCAGGCAGTAGTCACCCCCGCTGGCTGTCTAAATACCTGAACAATCTGATTGGATGCAGGCATTGCTCAACTGTTTTAAGAGCCAGTGGGGCCGACTAGCTAGATACTGAAGCTTGGCCCAGGTGGAGATTCCTCCATCCACACAGTTTAGCGTAGATGGAGGAATCTGTTGCACATTTTTCATCTGACCATAGAAAATCTGCAGATAATCTATAGGTGTATGGCCAGCTTTAGGGGTCTGTTTATCAATAAACCTGAGACATTCTTTCCTCTGCTTGTGTGACAGGTATCAAGACAACCTCCTTCATTCTAAAGCCTTGTACACATGGGTTTCAGATTGTATAGGATCAGTGTGTATAGCACGTTTTTACAAAGCATTGCAAAGCTTTCGGTAAGTTTTAAGCAGCATTTAAAGCAACTTCAGTTCCTGTTTGGGAGGTAAAACCGAGTTCACATGGGCTTCAGCTTATATTAGTAGCAGTGTGAACTGAAAGTTCTTACAGAGCATTTACAGGGCTTTCGGCAAGCTTTGTAGGATCTTCTAAAGCACACAGATTGAGAATGTTAAAGACATCTTAATGGGAGTGCTAACTGTCACTTTAAACAAGCTGCTATCAGACTTCAGGAAACTAGAGCCCAACCTGAAAGCCTGTTGAAGCCCCCTAGCAGCTTTCATAGTGACAGTTGGCACTCCTTTTAGCTGTTTAATATCCCATACCGGAACTGAAAGCAGACCTTTTTACAGGAGGATCCCCCTCCTGTAAAATCATCTGATGATACTCGGTCCAAAATGTACCTGTACAAAAATGTTACATTTATACTTACCTCACTCCTGTCTTCTGCCCACTGTGCCTATGCAAGGGTGGCGGCACACTCCTGACCGGATTCTGACAAATACAGAGAGCACCCACATCTCATGAGAAGACACTCTTGCTATTAACTGGAGTGACGTCTAGTGACTTTTGTCCTGCTCTTCATTCCACAGGAGGGATCCCCGAAGGATGGTTAAGTCTTGTCTAGCAATGAGGAAGACGGGGTAAGGCAACTATAAATCTTCATTTCTTTTTCACCCAGTAAAAGCAAGTAATTTTAGGGGGGAGGAGGCCCAGACATTATAAGGGGACCTTGGACCATTTACAATTTATTTTATTTTTTGTAATGGGTTTTTTTTTTAAATACAATTTTTAAAAAATTTGAAAAACATGCACAACACACTATCCTTTCACATACTGAACTACATACAAAGTCTTAATATATATATATATATGGGGTCTATTCACAAAGCTGCCGAGGGCAGCCGAGTGAATGACCGTCCCCGCAGGGAAAGCTCTAATTTGACATCAACCATAAGTAGAGATGAGTCTGGGCTTGGTACGGATCCCAGTTCACCCGTGTTCACCCAAGCCCACTCAATACTGAGATTGCCACCCTCTCAAACAGTGGCCGCAGTTGCAATGGGGGCATTCTCCAACCTTTTTGTGATGTATGGGGCAGGGAATGATTCACAACTTATTGGGTGGGGAGGAAGGGAAGGGAAGGCAGTTACAGTTTTAAGTGGGCTTGGGTGAACTCAGATAAACTGGGTTTGCACCAAGCCCAGCCTCATCATTAACCATAACCTTTCAGGAAGGCTGCTACCTGTCATAGCTGAGGCTCTTATCCAGTGCTGGAGGTTGTCACTGTATGACTTCCAAAAGCTGTGATAATTCCAGGTCAGGCACATCACTGTTTAGTCTCTTCTGCCCAGGAACTAGCAATGCTCAATGGCAGCTTCCAGCACTGAATGGGACCCTTAGCTATGATAGATAGGAACCATTCCTTGTATTGCATTGCTGCACTCCCCCTGCTTGTGACAAAAGAGGACCTGTAGCCATTCCGACAGTAACATTTCATAATCGTACAGTAAAGTACAGGATCTGTCACCTCTGCATCAATCCAGTCACATTCATTAAGCACTGCTTGGGATTCTGGGTAATAAGTGATGTGTGCAGCACCGTACTGAAATTAGGATTCTGGAGCACAGTTGAGACTTGCTTTCTATTTATACACAGCAGTCTTACATCACTGCAACATAACATTTATCTTATTCAGCACTGACATTGCCATATTGGATGGTTTCTGCTAAATCGCCATTAACAATGCGGTTTCATTATCAATTTAAACATATTGACATACAATGAACAATTTAAATTGATTTGGCTATACATTGTCCATACATGCCAACTGTCCATATGTCAGGTACAGCACCAACTTTTAAAGGCCAAGTCCAACCAAGGATAATATTTCATTTGAAGATATATTGGTGGAGTAAAAGAAGAATGCAAGATGTGGGGGAAATATATGAGATGATAGGCTTTCAGCTTATTTTAATGTTCCCAGTTCAGAATTATTCTGCTGTGAGGTTCAGGTGCTGAATACATTCCCGGGTGTGCTCCGGTCTGTAGCAAGCCAGATGCTGGTGAAATCTGAAGAGAGTGGAAGGATGCTGGGACCCAAACTGCAGCTGACGATCTCTGGATTGGGGCAATTAGGCAAGTTTAAAGTTTAAAACACATTAGCACTTTTTTTTTTTTAAGGACACCAATACATTTGGCAAATATAACCTCTGCCATCTTTTCTTTCCTGTGCATTGAGAAATGTTTTTAGGCCAAGGCCAGTGTAATCGTTGCAATGTCTGCACCATACTATGTGCAAAGCCCACATGTCTGCACAACAGAGCTGAGACCAAGGTAGGCATTGGGGATCTCTCCAGATGATCTCCAGATACATTTTGATTTCCCCAGTTGCAGTCTGGGCTTGCATGGCATGTGGGGTGGGGAAGGTTTGATTATATTTATTCAGTGCCTTCCTTATTACAGCAATTTCTCATCTGTCCCTCCTATGATTAAATGAGTGCTGTTTAGTATAGGAATTTTTGACTGGCACTGAAGACACTTACGGTAATGGGAACAGATGCCTTTCATGTACTTCTCAGGCTCAGCCCACAGACACGCACCTCTCTTTATAGCACTGTTGATCACTACAGACTGCAGACTGGCTAAATGCAAACAGTACAATATTTACACTGACCAGGGTTTGTGCTGGCAGCTATAAATGCAGTTAAACAAAAAGTCAAATGTAAGGACTGTGTTGGCAAAGTTGCTTCTTGTCTCTAGATATATTAAAATGTGTATTGTGTATTAAAAGGTTATCTTTTACATGGTATAAATTTGGGATTCCCTTGTTCTTTTATTCAATAAACATCTGAATTTTTATTTGCCAGATCTCTATATCCACCCTTTACCTAGCTCTCAGTAAAGCCAAGAAAGGGAGTGTTATTTCTCCTCCTGCAGATTTCTTATGGTCAACGGAGATGAGTGGAGCAGGAAAATGAAATTCAGGTTTTATATGAAGTCAGCATGTGAGTCAATCTACCTACATTCGCCAACAGTGAAATGCCAGATTTGGGTGAATGTGGCCTTTAAAATATATTTTTACTTTTTTTCAGAATTGTACAACTTACTATTTATTACAACTTCTCCAGGTCTGTATATGTGCAAATATGAAATGCAACAAAGGTCTCCTAAAACCATTGTCACAATTTACATTAAGATGTAATGCATTATGCCCATAAATACTGAATATAGCATATTGTGCGTTAACACTCCCATTTAAGAGACGGGGGGAACAAAATCCAAAATCAGCCAACTAAGCACTCTAACGTAAACGTATGTGATACATATGTACAGATTTACATTAAACTAATGCAGTCCCAGTGTGGGCTCCTTTGGCACCGAATTTTGCTCTTCATTGTTGACTGTGCCATAAGATATTTCAGTGATCTCTTCCTCTTTTAGTTTTTTATATGAAATATCTGTGTCTTCATCCTCAGATGGCTCAGATTTCTGGAGAACTTCCTTCCTATAGAGTTTATAGACCAAGACATAAATACCGGCCTCTGCAGCCTGGAATAGAGCGTACAGCAATGGGAACATGTACATACTGCCTATGAGATGAGCAGGGAAGGCCAGCTTTAGAAGGGCTGTACACAGCTGGACATTCTGACAGCCAGTCTCCAGAGACACAGTCCTCCTGCAGTTTGGAGGCAGATTAAATAAAGTGGCTAAGCCGTATCCCATGGTGTAGCCTATCATAGGCATAATCACTGCCACGATATACACAGCGGGCGGAATGGTAGCCAGTAGTTCCGGGCCCAACATGGCTCCCGTGAGGATGAAAAGGAGAAGCAGAGTAACCAGCAGAGACCAGAGAGAAACCTAAACAAAAAGAAATAAGAACATGTCTGGAACTGAAATTCATCAATTTATAGAAATCTTGTAACTATCGCAAACAGCTAAATCCTTTGCTATAGGTCAGACGTTCATCATACTTTCTTTTCTGTCAACGATATTAGAAGTGTAGGATTGCACTGGGATTTCAAATGTAACTTATCAAGACACTCAAACATGGCCCTGCCACCTTCTATCCATTAACTTATATGGATGCTTTTGGAGGAAAAGTGGTGAGATCACGCTTTATTATTACAGGAGAATTAGAGATTTGCTGGCTCTACTAATTGATTGATGGGGCTTTCAATACAGGTAACCTATGTTTATACATATCATTATTAAATGTTCAGTTTAAGTTGTCCAGGTTTATGGCTAGTGTTCTTTAATGAATGATCTTTTCCACTTTCTTACCTTACTAGACTCTGAAGGTAAACCTCTGCATACATTGACAAGTCATCTGTTTGTCCAACTGTGTTGTTCTCTGATATGATTTTAATATCCACATACACAGTAAGGCCCCTTGCACACACAGGCACCTATAGTTCCAATCAGCAGGGGATCTGTGCACAGGTCCCCTGCTGATCGGAGCAGTTTGGAACATCTTGCAATGGAGGAAAAAAACTGAAATGACTGAATCCATGTTTGTCAATGGGGAGTCGGATGTAAACGGACATGTGTCATCAGATTCCCCCCAATTTGCCGTGATCAGGTCCACCAAAATGGAACTCTGTTGCGATTGGTTTTCTGGACCTGGCCATAGTCCAGGGTAAGCGGATGTAAACGGACGTAGTTGCATTTAGATCCGGCTGCCCATAGATTAACACTGGGCATCTGATCAGATCCACCTGAAAAACTGACCCTAAACCCTGCAAGAAGAAGCCTTATCCAAAGACAGTAGTGGGGCACCCTGAACCTGTGTAGAACAGTCTAACTCTAAGCAATAGTAGAGTTAAGAAATGCTTTGTGATAGAAATATTAGTAGGGATGTCCTAATAACGAGACTAGTACCACGAGTACTTATGACAATGCCCCGATACTAAAAGCCGATACTGGCCCTTTACATTTTTAAACAAGAGTGGCTGCTGAGGTCCCGCTTTGTCGGGGACCTCGTGGCAGCTGTCTTTGACAGCGCCGGTCCAGCCCCAGATCTCCTCCTTCCCGGTGCCCGCAGAGACCGGCAAAGCACTGGACAACCCCACACCAATCCGCACAACCCTGGAGCCTGGCACAAGCCCGGCACCCACCTGTTCAGCCCTGGAAAGCCAAGCACCCACCTGCAGAGCCCTGGTGAGATCTGCACGTAGCCCTGGTGAGATCTGCACGTAGCCCTGGTGAGATCTGCACGCAGCACTGGGGAGACCCAAACGCAGTCCTGGTGAGACCGCACACAGCCCTGTATAATTGCTCTATAATCATGGATTAATGGAATCTGTAGTCCTCTTTTGCTGGTTGATCTTTTCCATTGTTGACTAATCATAGATTGCTGAGATTTGTAGTCCTCTATAGCCAGTTTCCATTCTCCATTGCTGAAAAATCATGGATTGATGGGATATATAGTCCTCTATTGCTGGTTGCCATTCTCTACTGCTGAACAACCATGGATTGAATTAAAGTTCTTCATAATTCTAAAGAAACTGCCCTAAAATCATTAGTCTGTATTGTTTTAGAAAAAATGTCACATGTCCCTTTAAGAAAAAGTATGGATAATTGGAATCGGCAAGTACCTGAGGGAAAGTACTTATATTTGGGGCTTGAAAAAATGATATCTGGACATCCCTAAATATTAGTGTTCATTACAGCAGGGAAATGAAGAGTATTGGCAATGCCAATAATTGATTCTACTTTTCCTGGGTTATAGTGCCAAGTACAAGGATCAGAAAGAGTATTCTGAGTACATTGGCGATTTGCCGGTTGGAGATTTATGGCTGCACAGTATAATGTGCATGCTAAATCATTACATGCGTCTCTTTAATGTCTGGAATCCATATATGAGGGGGCTTTTGTGTTCTTTATTGACAGGGAGGGGATCTGCACTCTGCTTAACAAAAGCACATTTTCCCCCGGCTAGATCTCAATGGAGATTGATGTAACCATCAGCCTGTGGAACAAAGAATGACTCTGCAGAGATTATTTTTCAAACAGGAAGATTTGGTAAAGAACTCTTTGTTATATTCTGAATGACAATCACAGACAATATAATGAAGAATATCTGTATGAGACTGGAATCCAAAATGCTTGACAATTGGAGATGATACAGGAACTTTCAATGATAGAACAAGATGGTCAAAGAATGTTTAACCGCATATAAAACTTAGCTTCCCTACACAGCCTATAGCATTCCTCCCCTTATTGTTATGGAACCCCTATGTGTGCATGACATAACAGTCCCTACAATCACTGTAACCTCAGTGAAGCTTCCAGCCATGCACAATGCACCTGACAACAGTCCCAGTAAAGAAGGAGTGTGATTGATATATATACTGCATATATAGTGTCTCTTATCTGAATACTTAGAAAATAAAAACATGGAGGATCAAATTTGTAAACCAGTAAAGTCATGTCTAAAATGTCTTTGAGGTTCACACTGCAATAATATCTCTAAACTAAATATGATCTCACTAAAAACCTATTTTAACAAAGTAGCATTGCAGCTATTGCAGACAGCACCAGGTGTAGTGATGTCTTGCCAGCCAAGTGCCTGTATAATTCTGGTGCAATGTCATTCAATAGACTTTGTGTGAGTCATTGGCACAGGAACACCAATGATCTCTATTATGTAGCTACTACTGACCACCAATGGTCTCTAATAATGAGTACCTATTGACCACCAACAAACAGGGGCACCAACCTTTAGTGGGTACACACTGCTGACCACCAACTCTAAGGGGGCAATCACAGCTAACCATCAAGTCTTATAAGATACTCACTGTTGACCATCAACTCAATGGTGCAATCATTGCCAACCACCAACTTTTAGGGGGCAATGTCTGCTGAACACCAGCTCCTAACTGCCATGCACCATTGACCACCAACTCTTGGGAGCATTCAACAATGACTACCACCTCTTAGGTGACAATCACTGCTACTGACCAACTCTTAAGGTGCACTCACTGCTGACCGCAGAGTAAGGGGTGTACTCCACGAAAACAGCTCTGCCATCAACTGTTGTAACTCCACCGCTTTTATAGCAGTGATCCATAAAAAAAAAAAAGCAATGATCAATGGGTACCTGTGACATTGATTCACAAGGATTAATATACAGATTATCAATCTAAAATGGAAACATGTACTGAGAGAAATATGAAGGCTGTCAAGAATACTAGTTGGCTGACTGTCTGGATTCAGTACTTTCACTGACCTGGAACAAACATGCACATTTAAAAGTTAAGTCAGAACTCCTGATCTGTACATTTGCATACTTGCTTCAGACAACTACCACAATAAGTATTGGAGCAGCATGACAACCAGACAATGTTTTTAGAGGTCAACAATTGCAGCCACCATATTCTTTCAGGGCTTGTTCACACCGAATGCGGTGCATTCCAGAGCGGTAGCTGCTGGAACGCACCACAATCGCTTACAAGACTTCCCCCTGCTTCTGGGGCGGGAGTGGGTGTGGCGGTGCATTGAATTCAATGGCACCGCTTACACCCCCCCTCCTGAAGTGAGGTCAGACGTGTGGCAAAACTTTGCCTGCGTTCCGTTCCACTGCAAACGCCAAAAATGCTGCTTGCTCTATTTTTTGCATTTGCAGTGGAACGGAACGCAGGCAAAGTTTTGCCACGCCTCCGATCGCACTGCGGGCAGAGGGGCATAGAAGCGGTGCTATTGAATTGAATGCACATCCACGCCCCCTCTCGCCCCAGAACGCAGGGGGAAGTTTTGTGAGGGATTGCGGTGCGTTCCAGCAGCTACTGCTCTGGAACGCACCGCATTCAGTGTGAACAAGCCCTCATCTTTCATTTAAAATACTGAAACCTTCTGCAAAAAGATAGCTATGAGGTCCTAAAAAGTGTGTGTGGAGGGAAGCAGAAAATGGAGCAGGGAGGGATAAGATATCAAATCATAAGACAAAATATCTGTTACATAGAGACGGTTAGTGGTTCTAATCCCTCACCAGTCTATTCAAATCTAAATAAAAAGTTTTGTCTTTAGTTATACTTCAAAGTGTTATTAGAGCTTTGCTGATAAAACATAAATATGCTAGCATACCTTATGGTACTGGGGGGCACAAGTGCAGTGTGGCCAGGGCCCTCAGCAATGTTCCAGCTTGGTACCATACCAGGGGCATGCATGCGTAGAGTGGCTGGGGGTCCTTCTTATTGTGCATGCTCGGGTGCTGTGCATAGGGCTTGCATGATCTATGTGGCAGGGGGTCCTTTTCAAAGTGCAGACCATAGGGCATGCAAGCACAGTGTGAGCAGGGTGATTCCAGCTTGGGTACCTTACTAAGGGTGTCCATGCAAAGTGCAGATGGGGTCCTTAGTGTGCTTAGGGCGTGCATGTGCAGTGGGACATCTGTGCAAGGGGTCATGGGACATGTTCGGAGAAGTGGCAGCTGTGCGATCTGGAGCCATAAGTGAGTGTGCAAGTGTCAGCCATACATATGAAACAAAACATGTTGTGTGGCATGTATAACTGCTTGCTTAGAATGAAAGTCTGGTCAGAAATGATACTTATGGAAAACTTGTGGCTAAAAAGCCATAATTTCCAGGACACAAGGCCAATCAACTCCCCTAAGTATGAAAAGAACTGATGTTCAGAAAAATGTCAGTAGGTCATCTGGACTGGACTGGACTGGAGCATTTGGCTGAAATTACAAATTAATTTTAAATACTGTTTTTTTAAAGTCCATTGTTTTCTCCCGGACTCCTCACTGTGGCTCTTTTACTTTCGCTGATTGCGTATGAGCAATGCATGTACAGTATATTGTGGTCATGTGCATTGCTCTACTCAAACTACAATATTCATTGCACTGACAGTCCTAATGTACATGCAACTCTAATATCATTCATTCATTCTGGTACCTGTGTGGACGGGGATTTTATGAATGGGGAGGTTTTCTGTGGCATTACATGCCGGTGCTGGCTGGGTCAGCATGTAATACCTTGGGACCTTGGGAGAGAGCAGAAGAGGGTGACCATTATGGCATATTGGTGGTCACATTTTGGCCCTCCAGCTGTGGTGATACTACAAATCCCATCATGAATCTGTCTGCAAGTGTCTGTCTGCAATGGCTCATGGGATTTGTACTTTCACCACAGCTGGAGGGCCAAAGTTTGGCTACCCCTGATGTAGCCACCCTCAGAACATAAGTAGGAGCACAGTAAGCTTGAAATGGATTTTTCAGGATACACTGCCAGATGATAATATAACAAGATAAGAATTGACAATAGATTATGGTATGGATTTTTTTTTTGGTCTAATGGTTTTAATGACACTTTAATTTTTGTACTTTGCTTGATTGCTATTTTAAAGGACACCTTTTGCTTGCTCTGAAATCGTCCAACATTGTTATATCAAGTGAAACATTTACATAGCATCAGAAACATCCAATCTTTCTTTATGCGTACATACTGAAAGTTTTAAGTTAAGTTCTGGGATTTGGAATCCTACCTTTAGCACAACATCAGCAATCCTATTGTACCGATAGCGTATAAAAACGCCTAGACCAATAGGCAGAAGAGTGCTACAAAGAGTCAGGCTCATGGCTCCAAATGGTAGAAATTGGACCAGTGTTGTGTTAATCCAGTGCCTGCTGTAGATCCACAGGCACAGCGGCATTAATATCAAAGCCAGAATGGTGGAGGATGTCGTCATGATGATGCTGTAGAAGGGACAAAAACAACACTGCATTAGAATATAACATTTGGGCATATATTGCTGGTTACTGGGCACTATATTGTTAGTCAATAATGTGTATTGATGTGCTACACTTATTGATCATATCTAATTATACAGCTGGGCCACTTTAGAACAGTTGTGCCTATACCGAACAAGTACAAGTAGAAGGAAGCATGTGATTACCTGCAATGACGGAAATCCAGGAACCTGTGCAGTGAATTATACGCAGTAGAAATTTCCCTCCAGCTAAACTCAATGATTGACAAAATATGTCTGTATTTGCAAACTCACTTAACATTTTTCTTATGCCATCTGACATCAGGAGGCAGCCAAGTGTAGCACATCAATTGAAAAGGTCCAGAAATATCTTTCAGCTCAGATATATTTTACAAGATAGGGTGAACTATAGGCAAGAGATTTGGCAGGCAACCTTCCTCTTCAATTATTTGCCTATATTCTAACATATAGGCCCTGACTAGAGCTGGAGCAAAACTACACCTATGTTGGAATACTGTAAGTGCAAAAATCCATAGGGCATTACACTTCCTTGGGATGTCACACATTGCAACAATGTGAAGTAACACCAGCCATTTAGTTTAAATTAAACAGAGTGGCTTGAACTAATGTGTCACAATTGGAGATCATGGAGTGTTTGGAGACCTGTTCATGTGTAAACTTGTTTAGGGAGATTGCCTCAGAACTGATACCCAACAGAGATTTGCAGTGATTTGTCCTATTGTTGGCGCTCTCGTGGATTACAGTAGAACTGCATGAAACTCAGCATTGTACCTAGCTTTCAAACTAGAAACAGATTCATGTTATCTTTGATGAAAGATCCCATATGTTGGGATTTTTTTTTTTATTTTTTTGTTGTTGTGTGCCTTCAACCAGTTATGTGCACCACCCATGTAAGTGGTAACTTAATCAAGTGACTGCCATATATTCTGTTCACTAACATTTTAAATTCAAATTTGACTCGTGCTGGTAGAGACAGCTAAAGGTGCACCAGGCCCCACCATTTACAAAACATGCTGTTCCATAAGGCAACTCTGGTGAAAACTGAAAACCCCTTGTACTAGGTTTTATTAATAGACTACTGGGGCTATAGTCATAACAGACCACATAAAAACTATAGCGTCTTGTATCTCAGAAGGACAGTACACACACACTGTCTTCAGAGGGCTTCGTAGCATAAAATTGGATAATAGTATACACAATTTATGTGGTACCTGCAACTCCAGGCACATCTATTAAATACCCTTTAGATAACTTCTTTATTGTTTCATAAGCAAATAAATATTTTCCAGTGTAGTCATTTTCTTAATATTTAGGTAGATTTAGCACAATAATTACCTGTATCTATATTACGTAGTCAGAAAGCTTACATTAAGCCTGCTTTATAGGAGGGAAAGGGTCCTGGCAGAGTATGAACTTTTCACTTAAATAAATAGAGATGGCAGTGTGCGTGTCGGGAAGTATTGAAGAGGAGAAGATCTTTGAGGAGCAGGGACAGGTAAGTATATGACTTCCAACGGCTGTTGGTGATAGAATTAGGGCCCAATACGTACACTGACAGGAATGCCAGACTTGTGCCTTGATAAATAATCCAATTTACATCTGCTTACACGCTGATTTGCATATCGTATGTAGGGTTGTCATATACATATTATATGAAACAACATATATGATGGAATTACCTTTAAGTACCTAAACTTCATTATGACAAATGCTCTATTACATTTTTCTGAGGCCCACAATTGTTATTGCCATTCTTCTTTTACCCCGACAATAGCAACTTTGCCAAAAAAAGAAACAACTGCACTCCGATATGGCTAGCAAATAAAAATGCATTCAACAAACGATGTAAACCTCACTCCACCTTCTCTGACACCTTTTATCCATAATGGGCTGAATCGGAAAAATTATCTCTCATTTAACCTCTTTACGGGTTGTTGTACAAATATTTTTATTGAGAAAAAACATAAACAGA